AAGTTTGAAAACAATCTGTCCATTGCTGATCAAGATATTTTCAAATATTTCTGAACAACCCTGAATGGGCGTGATGATCATGCTACAAGTCCCTCTCTTATTACAAACCCTTAATCATTTGGTTATCCAAAACATTCACTTCACCATTTACATGTATTTTGCTCTTTGTTTAATGATTAAAGATTGATACTTGGTCAATTTAATGTCAAAACATGAAAACGAGGTTGATGCTCTAAGTTGTTTATCCTCTGCTTCTAGTTAACAAGGGTAGCTTTAAAGTTTTCAGGCTTTCACTAAAGTGAATTATTGAAGAGCTAACATCAATCCTTTTCAAAAAAACAGTTTACATGTAATAACATAAAGCAGTTTTGACCAGTCCCTGCTACTGGACTAAGTCAATGATGAGCTGCTCAAGCCCATGTTTGTCAACTTCAAATATGACACATTGAAAATACTAAGTTAGTGACTACTTCAATAAGGTATCCAGTCAACTCGCCGACGGTCCAACTTGCCGACGCCAAGAAGTTAAACATACAGAAAAGTAAACGATATTTAGTAAAAAAAATACTGGTGAACATCAAACAGAAGCTAAAACATTGGTGAACATCACCAATGACTATAACAGCTTCAGACGCGAACGAGTTATTGTGTGACAACAACACCGTTTGCGTCTGAAGCTGTAAGAGTCATTGGTGATGTTTACTTTGCTTTATTCACCTTGATATCCTTATAAACTTTGTTGCAAATAAAAAGAATTGCTTTTTACTAAAGATCTTGTCTAGAAAGCCAAGTTTTCTTTAAAAAATCTGAGCGATTGACATGATGAGTCTTTATGGTGTTGTTGTCGCACAATAACTCGTTCGCGTCTTAAGCTGTTATAGTCATTGGTGATGTTCACCAATGTTCACCAATGTTTAAGCTTCTGTTTGATGTTCACCAATGTTCGCCAGTGTTTTTTTACTAATTATCGTTTATTTTTCTGTATGTTTAACTTCTAATAAGTTGTATTGGATTGAGGAGCAACTCGCCAACGTCTCTACTCGATTTTATACATTGGCGAGATGGCGTCGGCAAGTTGGACCGTCGGCAAGTTGGACCGTCGGCGAGTTGAGCGTAATTCTTCAATAAACCATATAGGAAATTCAGTTGTTTAGTTCTCTGTTTCTGATGTTCATTCAGTTAAGCACAGTTGAACTAAACATGTTTGCTGGTGTGAAAAGGGTATTAGACTTGAGGTAATTCTTTACTTTGAACATTCCCTGAAAAAATTCCCTTTCAAACTTTCACACTAAGAAGCAGAATCTGCCAGCCTGATCTCAAAATTGACCAGTCCCTGGCTTACTACCCCCTAGCAATAAGATTTTTAAAATGGTAACTGAATATGAAAACCAGTACATTCAAATCAAAACAGGGTATAAGTATCTGAAATGCAATTACCAGGTTCATTGTCAACCTCCATTCTTTCTTCCCCGCCAATGCTATATTTGGCTGTAAGTGTAAGTTCCAAATCCTATTGGAGGAATAAAGAAAAAAATGTCATTACCTGTTATAGGCCTTCTTCAATCTACACCAAAACCGGTTTAAAATAAGCAAAAAAAAACTCATATTCTGTGACTCACTTTCTTAATTGCTTGAACTGTCCCCAACATTATCATCATTGAGTTTACTGGCTCTGCATAATGTTTCCAAAGCTTCTTAACAATTAATTATGTAAGTTTTTAAGTACTGGACGATGGGCCAAAATACAATTTTGCACCATGATAAACATTTTCGACAATTCTACTTTCTCTCTGTGACAATTGGAAGGCAAATAAATGCATTCACGTCTCAACAAAAAGTTGTATAACTCTGTTGGGTGATATTTTTGCAGGTGAAGGAATAATGAGGAACTGTTTACTCTTTCAAATTCCCAGACCCATAACACAGTGATGTTCTCCATTTTTGAAATTTATTCCAACATCTATCTAAGAAACTCACCTTACATTTGTACTGCAAGCTGATACTTGATTCTGAAAAAGAACAGTTCACAGGTAAAAATTAAATCAACTAGGAACCTGATATTCTGTTTCACTATCTGGAATGACTAAAAAATGTCGGAGAAGGAAGAAAAATATTTATATGTATTGATTTAGGAATATATTTTATTCTAACAAAAAACTCAGGTATATTCTGTGTTCTAACAAAAAAAAAAAAAAAACAATTAAAAAAACATTTGACAGTCAATACATATAGTAGCACAAGTTATACAATTTAGGCTGCATATTTAACTTTAACTAAACATAAGAAGTGGGATCTAAAGCCTGTTCAGGGTCATTTGGCATTTCGTGATCAACATCAGATAGTTTGGGAGGGCTAAGTTCATTTGATTTGTCAAATTTATCTTATGCGTAGGGCTGCCGCTCATTTAGCCATTGCATGACTTACTCAAAGACTGTTTTGAGAGAGTACTGGGCTTTTCAACCATTTTTGCACTCATAACACCCAGTGATACATAAAATTGCAGTCAGACCACTCTAAAAACTGGACTGGTAGAATGGTGGAATAGCATGAAATTACCCCATATCCCAAAAGATGGAATGGCAGATAATTAACCCCAAATCTTAAAGCCCTTTGCTTGGTTTTGAACTGCAGTGGGATGCTGCAGGAAGTTGCACAATAGACCAGTTTCAAATTGTTTTTGCAAGATAGTCTGATAACTAATTATCAGCACCAAGTGGAGGTAGAGGGGAATATGCTCTTATTTTGAAAGCAAGATTAGAGTGACTGTAAGTTGAAAATGAAGTTTTGTGCCATCTCATGCCATCTTCCAACTCAAGCCTGTCTAATGCTGTTATCAATTATATTTTGCCCTTCAGAAAATAAGCAAAAACCCCCAGACTTCTATATGACAGTAAAAAGTCTTCATAATAGCCATCTTTTCGACCAGATAATAGTAAATATCAGGAAACCTGAAGTCTGGAATACTCTTACCGTTTATGGAATTGTGAATATCCCTTTCCTTTAAAGATTTATGTAGCCCGGAACATGAAATACTCGTGAAAGCCATGTTGAGACGACTCTGCCTCGACTTGGTGCTGGAAACTAGTTACCAGACTTTCTCGCACAAACAATTTGAAACCTTGCCTTCACAAATTATTTTCGTAGAAAGCATGGGTCGTGTGATAACTGTCTCAACTGCACCAGATCTCATTTTTATAAGATAACGACGTAATTTCTTTCAGTCGGCAATATACATACTGTAATATTTTAAGCCGTTAACTTAAACGGCGTAAAATTTCTTGATATAAGTGTATACAGACTAGGTTTTTAGCTTAAAACCCCACAGTCTATAGACTGTGTTGGTCACATATACGCTGTAAACTTATTACCAATAAAAATAAGTAGCGCCAAGTTCCAGGAGGAATATAGCCGGCAGAGCTGGCGTAATTTTAGTGAGCGTGTGCCCATTATTTTCTTAACGAAAATTATGACCGCCATCTTTGATACGCTATGGCAGAGGAAGACCATACAATCACGAGCTTATATCGTAAGCTCCTTCTACAAAGACGCCAGCATTGCAGGCTAGTAGCTGATTTCTCGTTTTTGTTTCGCAGAGGACCGCGAAGAAATGTTGCAAGTTTCAAAAGACATGTGTTAAACTATTGCTCCTTCCCCTTCGATGTTTTAGGGTTTAGGGTTTACGTTGTCGTTTGTCCAGCAGTGGTAATGGGCTAAATGCCCGACAATCAGAAATTTCCAAAGAATTCACATACCTTTCTTTATCGCGGATGAACCCAATTTGCACTTGCATGATGTTTACAAGGCATCGAATGGTGGACAAACATCCCATCGTTCGCTTTCATGGTTTTGCAGCTGAAGAAAAAATTAACATAACGTAATGCGCTCCCGAAAAACGCTTGAGTATCTATATAGGCCTGCGAAGGTCATGTGGCAGTTTGCACTCTCCTTTGATTGGCTGTTGTGTGGCTATTGTGATTGCTTTCACCAATTATCACGCAGCACGTCAGATAGGACACAGCGCCAAAATGAGTGCGCATGCTCGGCAGACTTTCGCTTTCGAGGTTCTTAAGGAAAAATCTGAAGGGTAGGTAGAATTATTTTAGACATTGTTCAACTAAAGCTGATTTAAATTTATCCAGACAGCTCGTTGCGTGTTCCCGTTCCTTTCAGCAATTTTATTTACAAAACGCATTCCATCAACGGTATTTTTTTTAGTACATGTTTTAAACTTGAAAACCTTTTTGATGTAAACTCTTGTGGTAGTAAAAGCTGTTTTACAATCGAAGTTAGTCTTGAATCTGTTGGTCGTTTTGCTTAGGTGAACGTTCTTTTGATCGACACAAGCTCAATGTAACAGTGTACCAAGCAATACCGCCCTATTGCTTCCCCCAACACAACGTAAATGTAATAGATGCAATAACATTTATACTTGACACATATCTTAACCTTCTTTGCGTCTGGAAATATGTCGCCATTGCGCCAATCCCGCACTGCAATTGAAATTGTCTCTTAAAAAAACGGTCAAGGGGACAATTTGTCCCTTTCAAAATTTAGGGAAAAAACTCGAAAGGAAGCACACACGAAGAGTTTTATCTCGGTACAGAAATTGTAAGCTAAAACAGAATGTGGAAAGTATATTTTCTTGCACGTTTAAAGTTCATTCTAAAGTCACGTTTCAGTCACACTTAACTGAACACGTACGTCTCATGCTCAACCAAGCGTGGTGAACGCACGTGGCAATCTTTACTACGCTTTTCACAAACATGCAAACTCAAAAGTTCAAAAGCCGCCTTCACAATTACGTTTTTTCGCTGCCCTCAATCATAATTACGATCACAAGCAACGAACCTCGAAACACAGAAACACACGAAACGGATTGAAATCCACCAATGACAAATCACAAACCATGACCTTTTGAATCCGTGAAAGTAAAATTTTGTTTCCTAAGAGTTCTGTTAAGATGACTGACGGCAGCGACAAAACCCAATCGTCAGTTGGCTTTTGAACTTCAAAATTCGCATGTTTGTGAAAAGCGCAGCAACATGTCACATCGAAAACGTGTTCAAACATTAGAAAGCTTTTTCGCTCTGAATCGAAGCCAGAGTGAATTAGAGAAAAATGATACAGAAGAAGAACAGTGTATTAATCAGGAAGAAATGAATGAGGCTCAAAGGAAACCGAAAAAATCACGAACTTTCCTGAAAACTTGGTTGCGAGATCACACATGGTTGCGCTATGAAAAAGAGGCGATGTTCTGCTATTTTTGTCGGAAATCTAAGAAGACAAACCCCTTTGCAAGGGCAGAAGGGTGTACAAATTTTAGAACCTCAAGTCTGCAGCAACTCTTTTCTACAGCCCTTGATGTTTGGGCTAGAACCAACTGAAGAATTAGTACATTTACGTTTACCAGTGATTAAGTAAGGAATTGAAGTTTATAAGGCGATGCTGGGACGAGGTTCTGCTGTGTAATGTTTTGAAGTATAAAGCATAGTCATTGATCCTCTGTTTAAATATGACGAGAAAAAGAAATTTGACATCAATAACATAACTTTTCTTTTTTGTATCACTTTTCTTGTATTACAAGTCTTACAAGGATCAGGTAAAAAAAATGTTTTTGTCGGCTTGCCTGTATGAATGTAAAAAAAGAAAATGTCGAATAAAAATTAATTTGTCTGTCCCCCTAAAAATGAAAATGTCCTCCAAAATTTTTGCTAAGGGGACAAATTGTCCCTCAGTGATCAAATACTAGCTCAAACCCTGCAACTGTTACTGACAGTAATAACTTGGAAGTTGTTAGGATGTACACTACTAACAATCAGTCTTACCTAAGTTATGAAGAATAGCAGCTTGTTCAAATCTTATATCAGACAATGAGATTGGTTCCTCTGAATAGAGATCAGTCCTTTCAAAACAAATTCATTAAAATAAGAAATTTGAACTTTGTCAGTCATTTAGTAATAATAACAACAACAAAAAATAATCAATGATGATTGTACTAATAATAATACTCATACTAATATTAATAAATATTTATAGAAAACCATTTTCAAAGCATTAGTACTCCACAATAACAGGCATACCCATTTTGAACGAGATTTTGAAATTGCTGTTCCTTGAGTGTAGTGAAAAACAAATGGAGAGGTTTGAGTTAAGCCTTTGGAGATTTTTTAGAAATATCAGAAATATTTGAACACTGTATACCATAACATGTTCCCTTTGCAAATGGTTCAGCAACAAGGCATATAAACCAACAAATATGGGAATTGAAAAAAAGGCATAATTATATTATAGTTTGAATTTAACCCTTTAAGTTCCACTAGTGACCTAGACAGAATTTCTTGTTACATTATTAGTACAATATCAAGAAGACAAGTAATGAGAATAATGAAAAATATCAACTTTGGGATTATTGGTTGATCCAATTCCAAATTCTCCAAACTAACATCACATAAATTGTATGGCAAACTGTAAGGAGAATTACTCATGAAATCTTGGGAGTTAAAGGGTTAACCATAGGTTTAAAATTATTTTGAATGAGTTTTACAATTACAGTACTATTCAATTGTAAGTAGATAGTTCCTTGAAACTCTTTCCTCAATCCTCGATTCTCAAGGCTCACGTCAAGTATGAAAGAATGTATATGTAATTTATCTGAGTTTCAATTGAGTTAACTTTCTGAACAAAATGTTTACAAATTATACCCAATACATTTACAAGTAGTTTGAAAGAATTTGAATTTGAATTTTAAACAAGTACATGTACACACCATGTAAACTGCACATTAACTGCTCCTCCTTCACCCAGTGGAAATCTGGATTGTAAAAATTGCAGCTGAGCATAATACCGCCGTAGTGTACTGCACCCTGAGTGATCATGTGATGGCCGAAGAGAGGCCTAGATAAAAATAAAAACAACATGGTCAATCAATGCTGTCTGTAACAATATAACAAGAAATTTCCTGGGGTATCCTACAACCAATATCTTTCTATGTTCTATGTTGATCAACTGTTCTGGGTTGATTTCAGTTTTTCCATATTCTATTGCTAAAACCCTTGTTCAGTTGATTTGATTTATAAGCTCTTTCAATCACCATCAAATTAGTTAAAACAGTTGAAAAAGAATGAGTAGTGACTGCTCTAGTTTTTCCTCGCAACCTATACTAAACACCATTGAAACAGTTGATCCTGACAGACCACAATCTTAAATTTCATCGTATCAAATAGCTGGCAACACCTTTGGGCTATTAAAAGCAAATCCTGTGTTCTGATTGAGTAACTGAGCAGGATTGCCACATTGAGAAAAAAAGTTGCATGCTCTTGAAGTAGACTTAAAAAATGTCCTCATTTTAAGACAATTTCAGCAATGAAGTTACATAAAGCAGAAGACAGTCAAAACAAGGACAACATAAACAACTTTGATAAGCTTGTTGTGCTACAAATGCAGCTAGCTTTTGATACAGGCTCTTGCTTCATTCTTGATTCTTATTAAAAAAGCAAAATCTATTTGATTCAAAATAAATCCATTGTTGATCATGCTTGTTCAGTCAAGATGGCTAAATATTAACCTTGTTCCTTGTTTTGCATTTTCATGGACCTAGACAATACAAATGCAAAGTAACCAATATCCATCTTCATGTATCTTGACCAGACAAGCTCAGTCAATAATGCTTCCATATTATATAATATGCAGAATCCAAAAACGTAATATGTTTAACATCATTTATAAAATGAAAATCTGATGCTTGATAGGATCATTCCAATACAAAGACAGCGTGAATTATCTTACTTTAAATCATAAATCGAAGTGACAGATAAAAAAGCAGAGACTTGAGAATTGATACTTGATATTCTGACCAAGGAAGTTGTCCAAAAATTTGTGACGATTTCCAAAGCATACTGCAACTTATATCCTCTCAAGGAAATCTGACCAAATTACAGTGATTGCTCATATACATGTGTGTATTATTATGCTTCTGCGTGTTTGCTATCATAAAAAAAAATACATGACTAAAACGAAGACAAGTTTAAAAAAAAGTCTCAATTCGCGTACTTTGTCATGACAATCATTTCCTAGGGAGTTTCAAATTATTCGAGACATATTGACGAGGTCAAAAATTGTTGCCATAATTAGTGCTAAGTAACTTCAACACTCAACGATAACATAGTTACGAATATTATGTCATCTGTGTAATAGTCGTAAATTACGTACTTAAAATAGAGAATTCGAAATATACATGTAATTTTTATAATTGCAAACTTCAACAAGAAAGAACGAAAATTCGGGCTGAATCGATCTATCAACCGAAAAAGCATAGAGAAGTAAAAATGATACTGAAAATAATCATCAGAGCGTTAACGTTTACACAATTTCTGTTTGAAACAAATAACAAGCACGTATTAAGCTAGAAATTCAAAACTGTCACTGAAGCGCAAATTTGACGTAAAAAATACACGTACATATACATTTCTGTAGCTGTATACCTACTTACCTAACAGAGATCAGATGTTGCTAAATAAACTCAGTTAATCACCGAAGCATCACAATAAGTAGGAGGGGGGGTTATAAAAAAAAGCTCACCGTTCGAAGTTGTTCCAACTGAGAGCATTCATTCTTGTACGAGTCCGCATCTTCGTTGTAGTGGTCTCGAATATACTAAAGATAAGCCCGATGTTAGTAGATTTAAACCACAAAAATAGCTTTAAATAAATTAAATACATTTATCTCATGGTACCGTTTTCAATGGTGGGGTAAATTCCGTAGGAAAGCTCTCTTTTAAGTCCACATTTAACATTAAAGACCGTGGACAACCCTCCATCTTGGTGACGTCATTATGCGGAGGAGAGGCTGCAGTAAGAGCAAAACAGTACAGCAAACTCAGTAATAAAACTATGCGCAAAATGGGATGGCGCAGAGGTTATAGAGGTAGGCCTTCAGGAAGACGACGTCATGGATGAATTAAAGCGTCTGAGTGATTTAAAGTACGAGGAGTTTTTTAGAGATTATATGGAGGCCAATCAGCTCTGCATTTTTTCTAGCGAGCTTACCAAACATTGGAGAAGTCGGAAGGAATGGGTCATAAACGGGAGGCCAAATTTTGGCTTTTTCATGAAAGAATTTGGTAATTCAGCTCTTATATTGATGTTAGCTCAACATCTCAGAGAAGTGAACCGGCTTTTGTACCAGATTTTTCTGTTTTTCTAAATCATCAGGACATACTAATCCCACAAGTACTCCTACCCCCCTAATCCCTCTTCTATGCCTCCCCCTCCCCTCCCCCTTTGCCTGTTCTCAGTGTTTAACATCTAAATTGTTCATACCTTCACTTACCTTAAAAGTCTAAAAAAATAACATTGCTCTGTTTTGCAGGCACTTAACTCATCCAGATGGCTAATTACCACTTATTGGTTATGTGTTTTGTACTGTAGGCCATGCTGTAGCACCTGTTGCTAACTGTTGTCAAGAAAAATATGGCAGTCAAGTCAAGGAAGAGATGCCAGTGAAAGAGTTTTGTGACTATTGGAAAAACAGATCTGAAGGTATACTCTGCCATTTTAATTGTTGAATACGAGACGTGACGTTCCCATGAGAGTATACTTTTTGATGCTAGACAAAAAATGTCTCTAAGTGAGGGGGGGCATTGAGTTTTTTCATTGCTTATTTTTTAAATCAGCTGTCATGATATGGCTTGAAAATCTTAGAGTTCTGATACCAACCTCTTATTTCAGTATTTAGGAATTAAAACTGAAGAGTAGTGTTTCAGTTATACAAGTTTCTGTATTTTTGAAGAGGAAACAATTTGATTCTTAATAACTTTATTGAGTTGGAAGTAAAAGCACATTTTTTTGTGTGTGATTAAATACCTTTGTTTACACTCTTTGCAATTCCAATGGAGTGCATCTGTATTTTTGTTGTAATCAATAGGTGGCGATGACTCCAGTCAAATACTCTATCTTAAAGACTGGCACTTTTGTAAGTAAGTCTATTCACATTTCACTGTCTGTATCATTAATATTGTAATATTTTGAGTAAAAAAAATTGTCCTTTTAGTTAGTCATTGGAGATCAAGAGTTATTTTCTTTTCAGATTTAAATATTTTTTGTAGGCTTTCACTCACTCTATGTATGATAAACTCACAAAAAAAAATTAATAACTGGATGTCATGTTGGATGAAATAGCTTATTTTCTTATCAGTTATTGTCAGTTTTGTTGTTGTAAGGGTACAGATCTTAGGAAAAGTCCGAGATGGACTTTGACAAGGGGTAAAAAAAAGCCTTTTTCAATAAATCTTTTGCTGAATGTTCTTTTATAATGGTTTATATGACAGGGCTTTTCCATCATACAAGGCCTATGAAACACCAGTCTATTTTAAATCTGATTGGTTGAATGAGTTCTGGGACAAGCGTTCTGATGTGTCTGATGACTACCGCTTTGTATACATGGGTCCTAAAGGCAGCTGGTGAGGTGATATGCTTGACATTGACTTTTCATTTAGAGATTTTAGCAAGAAAATAACAAAAGTAGACGAACAGTGTTAAGCGAGAAATGACTCAGGCAAATTAAGAAATGGTAAGCAACAGCATGCAACCATTGAGTTATGGATGCATGCAGGAGATTGCGAAGCACGAAGTAAGAGTCACACAAGGTGACTTGGGAACTGAGGTTTTAAATGCAGTTAAGAGCAATTTAAAGGAGTTAACAACAAAGAGCATCCATTCAGCATTCTCTTACAATCAGCCTTTTTTTTTACACATGCGCATGTGTTGGAATTCCAGTTGCTCCTTATTTGAAGCATTCTTGCGTTTACTATGAGTGTGAACTTTCAGTGTTGTTTGGAGTGGCAGCTCATCATCTGGGCAGTTTTCCTCACCCCTTCCCTCCCTGTTTACACTGCTTTATCAGTGTGTTGGGTGCCTGTTGCCCTTTCCAGTATGGGGGCTCATAGCTGGGTTGCCAGGATTTGCCAGCCATGGGAGCAGTCTCCATTTAGGAGCTAGCTGCCAATAGTGGAAGCTCCTGGAAATCTCATGCACCAAACCTCCACTTAACAATGTAGTTGTTGATGGGTAATTATACATGCTTATTTTTGTTTTTGTTGATGTTTTCAGGACTCCTTTTCACGCAGATGTCTTCAGGTATGCTTCATCTATGAACAGTTGGCGTTTCACTTGGTCCATGTTGTCATTTTGTCTTTTCATGCAACTCATATTCACACATTGCTCATGCCCTTTGACTTCCAGTATGTTAATGCATGATTCGACTTCTGGTATACCGTGCTACTCATTTTCACACATTGCTTACCACCCTCCACTTTCAGTATGTTGACACATGATTCGACTTCTGGTGTGTGTCGATTTGTCAACAACTGTAGACAAATCATAGTGGTTTGGGTGTATTTATGGACATGTATGGAGAAATTAGGTGCTAGTCACTCTTCTGACTCTCTCAGGAGTAAAAGAGTTAAATACACAAGGAAGGAATATGTGTCAACTAGTTATTTAAGACTTTAAAAAGTTAATGTTACCGGTAATTATGCTTTGTTTAAAGGTCATACAGTTGGTCTGCCAATATATGTGGATGCAAAAAATGGCTGATTTACCCTCCTGGTCAAGAGAAATATTTGATTGATAGACTAGGTAACCTGGCATATGACATCACATCTGATGATATGAGTGACAGATGCCAATTTCCAGAATTTGATAGTGCTGTAAAGCCACTTACAGTGGTACAAAGAGAGGGAGAGATCATCTTTGTGCCAAGGTATTGCTGGAATATTGCCTTAAATTGCTTTATTGTGGCCTTGCTTAATTTTAGGCAAAGAACAAGATGAATCCACCACAAAAAAAGCTATAATAGGGAGGGGAACTTTTTCATTTAAGGTATTTTTTAAGAAATCATTTTTACTCCCCAATTTCATTGTTGCTAGTACTTAAAACAGCACATTTTGCCTTGTCCTTCCCAGCTTAGTAGTTTCAGAGGTTTTTTTTTTTACAGTCCTTCCCTTACTGCTCTTTTTGTGCATAATACACAGACTTAACCTTGGTCAGATTTTTGAGAAAACAGTGGGTTCAAGTAGTCTATCACACATGGTGTAAGGTTGCCAAACTTAACCCTTTAACACCCAAGATCTGAATGATAACTCTCCCCTCTTGCTGCTACACATTTCCTTGAAAAATAAGTTACAAGAATTTAGTGTTAGATCAAGATAAAAACCCTACCTGGTAAGTTTGAGTTTTCTCACTACCTGTATGCTGGAAAAAAATATTTATATTCTATGGAAAGGTTAAATGTAAATAACCTTTGGGAGTTAAAAGGTTAAATTGTTACTTTTTCAGTGGATGGCACCATCAAGTAATAAACTTGGTAAGTAACACTAAATCTCATTTAGTGTCAGTACCTAAGTAAATCCAAAATGTTTTTTTTTTCATGAATCCATAGTCTGTAGTTGAAGGTTTAGCATACTTTAGGGAAATGTTGAAAAGGTTAAGTCACCCTTTAACCCTTAAACTCCCAGATCAAATTTGTAAGTCTCCTTCCTGTCAACCGTACAATTTTTATAATGTTAGTTCAGAGAATTTAGTATTGGATCAACTAATTATCCCTCAATTGATATTTTTCTTTATTCTCATCACTTATCTGGTTGATATTGTATTGGTATTGTAAGGAGAAATTCTGTCTTGGTCACTCATGGGAGTTAAAGGGTTAAAATATCAAACCATGAACATTATCATGCATTTCATATTTATACTTTTTAATAATATACATGAAAAACTCGCACTCTTCTGATTGGCTGAAAATGAGTGTATTTTTCATGTAAAACAAGTTCAAGTTGTAACATGAGAGCAAAATTGTGACACAAGTGTAAATTACAAGTAGCATGTGCGATGTCAAAATTTCATCAGTTTCAATTCTGTAATTTTTTTTCAGGTGAATTATTAATAAGAATTGACATGATTTTGTGAGCAGTTTGATGTAAATAAGAAATGCTAATTTTTCAGAATCTACAAATTGCACTGACCCTAAAATCTTGTGCAATTTTGTTGTCTTGGAAAATTTTCTCATGCCTAGTAACACCAAATTGCACTCAAAATCATGTTGTTACCTATACTAATTGGGATGCATATGGTTTCTTACTTTTAAGGAGGACACTATATCTATAAATCACAACTGGACCAATGCTTGTGGAATTTTTAAAATGTGGGAACATTTAAGAAATGAACTGGTCAAGGTATGTTGGAACGGTTTCCTGGACGGGGGTTGTTTTAACTGGGACCAAAGGTTATTGATCCTCCACACCCTAATATCAATAGCCATATTCTCTATACTCTTTCCTAAAAAATTCTTTCGGTACTGACAAAGAGAATTCGTATATCAATCAAGAGTTTTGTTAGGTTGGCGATCATGTGAGAATAGGTCACGCTATTTCATTATGAGAGGAAAAATAGTTGGCGAAAACAAGGACACAGGCAAAAAGTACGAGCCAGTGAAAATAAGATGAGGCTTTTTATTGAGAAATTTTGCGCGTAATAATCTTGTTGTGAAAATCCCATACAAATCTTTAGGCTTGATGCCATTTTTGGTATTGCGCGATGTGTTTTAACACGTAGCCTATTCTCGCAATGAGCTTGGAGTCTCAATTTAGCTTGTCTTTTTCTACAAATTTGGCTAATCTAGTATCATTCCTCGTGGCTTATAACCTGATGTCTCTACACTTTGTTGGAAACTGAAAGATACGTTAATTATTCTTAATTTGGTTGACATTTATAAGTGATTTCGTTTATCTTTACCTAACCAAACAAACATGTATGCGGCACGTGTTTTATCTCTCCATATATGGCATTGTTCCACGTGCTTACAACAGGACGTTCAGTGTGTGTTTCTTTCGAATAAGTGAGTGAGAGTTAACCGAAGCGTTGTAGTAAAATCGCTAAATGGAGTGACACTTATAAGGAAGTGTGGTAGAGCTTTTTCACGTTTTCGACAACTTTACTAACCTGGTGGTCTTGAATTGGAAGCAGATTGCGACAGAGGGTTGAAATAATTAACGATTATTCCATGAGCGCGCGCTGGATGTGAGACGAGAAATAGCCAACAAGGCGCGGTTTTGAATTCCCGCCTTTCTTCAATACTATGGGAGCTTAGTGAATTTGTTCTAAAATTTAAAAACAGTTGGCTGAATTAGTTTCCATATAAGGTGATTCGGTATATGAGCTGATTACCGAAGTTGATTGAACCAATCAGAACACAAGAATGCAATATCCGGAATTTAAAATTTAATTATTAACAATTATTCACCGAAGTGAAGGTGGTCAGTGGTAGATATTTACCGAGCTGCTAAGCGACGAGGTGGATATTCAACGCTAGCCACCGATACTGAGGTGAATATTTTTTTAAAAATATATCCATTAAAACAGTGAGATAATAAAGCACCAAAATATGAGTTTAACTCCCTTGTTCCTCCAAATATTGCAATAGTTTCGGGTACAAATCCCGTGCGAATTGCTTGGAGTCGAAAAGCAAAGGATATTTGGATCTTGAGTAGCCAATCAGAGCGCACCTGAAACGCTATCCACTTTGTTAGTCTGCACCTATATGAAATGCTCATCCACTTGATTTCTTTTGCCTCAAAAACCTCAGGAATTTTAATGTTTTCTCCACGAAGGTCCAGAAAAGCATTGAAGACTGTAGAGATATGGAAGATTGGCATCAACAGTGTCAGGTATGTTCATGAGCGGTTTAAAACAATCTGCGATAAACAACAGGGTAAAACTAACTTGCACAAAAAATTCTTAAAGTTCGAATCTTCCATCAAATACTACCACTCGCACACACAATGATCGTTCGTGCAATTTGCTGGCGAGCTGACAAAATTATAAATACCCAGGACGTGCGTGTTGATTATGCGCATCATGCAAGCTGGGTTGACTTCTTAACAAGATGCAAGACTTCCCTCAGCCTTCTCCTTCACCAGGTATTAGTTTCGCTCTGACGAAGGGCTAACACCCGAAACGTCGGCTTTATAAACTCTTTACCAACCAAACTATCTTGTTATACCCCCTACTGACACAGCACCACAGTTTGTAGAGAAGCTTATCCCCTTTATTCATTTGTTTATCTGAATTGGAAACAAGGTCGCTCTGTTTCTATTCTTGTGTGTTTGGATTTCATCATTAAAACCTTGATTTGACACACAGAGCTGTTATTTTAAATGGTTAGACACAAGTTGGTAGAAATTTTTCGTTCATATTTCTCGTAAACTTAATCAGCCTTGTTCGCAGAGCCTCCTGTTTACTACTCTAAGCGTTCAAAAACATTGCTGAAGACGGGTAATGGGGAAGCTGGTTTAACCCTTGAACTTCTAAGAGTGTCTGGCTTCTAATTTCTCCGTACAGGATCACCCTTGAATCCAAAGTTAAGGTTATGAGAACAAAGGAAAAGATCACTCAGTTTAAGAAGCTCCTGATTGTCAAACAAATTCTCCCTGTTAGTAACATAGCAATTTTAAGAGAACAGTGTGGAGAATATGAAAGCTAATGTTTGGATACAACTGTTGCTTTAAGTTTAGACTTTTGGTTACAGGTTTGTTTTGTTCATTCAGGTGATTCTACGAGCAAGTTGTGGAATAAATTATGAAGAATTCGTAGAGTTTCTTGGCTTAATAGCCAGACAAAGATTAAGGACCATTCAAGAAAAGGAGACAGGTACGCCAAGAGAACTCAAAGACATGGACAGTGAAGCGCGTTCCACAGAGACAGGCTCAGAAATCTCTGTATTTCAGGATTGGAGCAGGTCTATCCGCTTTCTAGAAGAACAGGAGCAGTGCTCTCTAATGAACTACTGTCGATACGATCTTATAAAAGTGAAAGAGTGTCTTGTAAACTTAAAGGACGAACATTCGTTTATAGAAATGCAAAGTAGAGACCTTCAGCTCAGAATTGACGCACTTTTGCAAGATATCTCAGTAACTCTGGAGAATGCCAGCGGTCGATCTCCACAGGAGAACGGTGGAATTGGTGTTGCCCTTTGAAGTCAATGGCCTGCGAGCAAGTCCTCGTCAGTAGTGTTGCAGGACGCGCATTTCTTTGCCCACGGGAAGATTGGAGACGAGAGAGAGAGGTTTCATTATTTGTGTCAGACTCCCAACAGACCCCTGGCCGGCCCGCCTTACTCAAGGACGCAGACTTTCCCGCGGGCTGAAAAACGCTTTTGTCGCAGCGTTGATAATGAAGGCTTCCTTGCATACTCTTGCACATAAGGATAAGATTTAAACAAAACGAAGTGACTCGAAAATGGAAGTAAAAATTGCTGGGCAAATTTAGACATAATTTTTTTTTCTGGCTGTTGTTGTCTTTGTTATTCTTGTTTGTTTAGATTAATTTGAGCGAGTATTTCTATTTTGAAGTTTGATAAATGCTACGCTGACTTGTGTCAATAGAGATCATGTACTTGGCGCTGACATGAAGGTTGCACAATGGAAAATGGCTTCTAATGAAGAATTAACGTAATCAGAATGGGAATGATCCAGGTAAAATAATCACTTTCAGTTCGTACTCTTTAGTTCAGAACAGGTGGGTACTCACCTTAGCACACCGACAAACCGATGGGTTTGCAGCTTCTGTAACATGTTCTGGCGATTTCCGTATGTCTCTAGTCGCCTTTTTATGTAGCATACGTGGTCGTAGGAGAGTAACTTCCATGAATAATACCCTATTCACACCAAAGTTTAAACACGTTTTTTGAAAGCTGTCTTGTGAACCACGGCTTAAACCGATGTTTTTCGACATCAAATGTAGCACATTGAGTCTACAAGTTAGCAGATACTTGAATCCTATGGAAAATTCAGTTTTTTCAGTTCTCTGTTTCTGATAGACATTCAATCAGACCCTGTTAATGGTAATACTGGGGGATTTTTCACGGTAGCCAGTTCCAGGCCCTCAGTTATCAGGGCGAGTTAAAGAACATGTTATGCAGAAGCTGATCGGAAGCATAGTCCAGGAACTAACAGAGCCGGCTACAAGCAAATCTAGAGTAAAAATATAGCTGAATTTACTCTTATAGAAAAAAAATAATGATTGTTATAAGGGAGAGTAATATATGTATACAGTCAGCGGCAAGTTTCATTTCTTACAGGTCTTCACTTGATATTTCCTTGCTAATAAACTTGCGTTTTAAGATTTCCATCAACAAAACCCAGGAAACTTGCCAAAAGAAAGAAAATATGCCAGATTACAGGTAGTTTAACGGTAATTAAAGCGTGGAAAAAAATTATTGTGGTTTGTCATTCTAGCTTGCTTGCGGTCAGTCTCGACACCCTCGGTTTGCGGTGTCTCACCCTGAAACCATTACGTTAAACAATTAAACAAAATGTTTTTCTTTGTAATTAATTTCCCCGGATTCACTATTAAAAAAGTGCCAGTGTGTATTCTCCTTTCAGTTTCTAATGCGGCGAAATTTGAAATGTTTTGGCATATCACTTTGTTGATGAGTTTAGCCTCGGCCTTGACCCTTGTACAGGATAGGATAGAGATATGGTGTATAGAAGAAAAATGAATTATGAATGAACCAATGAACGAACGAGAGAGAGAGAGTGACTGGAGTGAGTTATAAATGAGTCGGTTAGACAATAGTGAAAACATAGGTTAGCAGATAGAGCATTTTTTTAAGGTCAAGGTCTATCATTTTCAAGGTTATTTCGTTCAAATGTGGATCTCTATTATTCAGTTAACTTCCCAGTGAGGTACTGCCTTGAGGGTATTCGTCCACGCAAACCCAAACAATTCAAAATGGGGCGTAAGTAAGGATTTCGACAGGTTTAGGCAGAAGCCCCGAAGATGTGAAAATACGGCCGAACTTGTCTGCCAGACGGTAGAGCGCGTTTGATCAAATTGTATCACAAAAGTCTTGAATGAAAGAAGATTTTGAAATAAAGGCAACATTACGCCTCGATTTTTTTTTTTTTTTTTCAATTAAGGTCGTATCCTCTAATTTTTTCGTTCATTCTCAGCACCTCTATCGCATTTCTATCTGCATTTGAATTTCGTTCCATTGACATTGGAAGCCGTAAACCTATTGGACGAAACTCACACCTTTGTCTTTCGTGAGATCTGATTGGCTCAGAGAGTTGAAAGAAGGTTCGTCATTTCCTTCACATGAAAACAATCCCGTTTTTTACGACAAAGCAAACAGCTGGGTCCGTTTGCTTTTGAGAAAACCTAAGGTGATGTCTTCTTCGAAAAGGACAAGGCTTTGCACAGAGTACTACCGGAAATCTAAGACATGTTCCTCGAACTTGCGGGGCTGTTGTTTGAGTAAGAAATTCTAGTGATCGGCTTTCAAATCGGTAGTGTTTGCCTAGCACTGTTGGCTTAATCGTAACGGCAGGTTTTACTTTACTTTGTCTAACCTTGCTCTTTGTTTCGCTTTAAAGAGAGGGACAGGCCACGAAGAAAATGCAGCACTGATCATACTTCGATGGATAAAAAATATAATCGCGTGGAAAGAGAGGAGGTCGGTGAAAATTATCGGACATGTGTTTTACGAATCTATCGATTAACCATAATTTTTTTCTCACTTCTTTGTTCTGTGCACAAGTCGGCGTCACTTGGCTAAAGAATAATTTAAAACGGTTTTTTATACTAATGATACCGGATCGAAAGTGAAAATTTAATGTTATTTTTTTTTTATGTCTTCTTTGAATTAATTGCAGTCGATCCTACCCCGGTTTACACGAAATCTTGACAAAACTCAAAGTCCCAATCGAAAGAGGTTGTGTAAACTTACAAGTTCCGTTAATCAGCGATCTTCATCCCAGAAAGGTATGCAAGGCATTGCCGTCCTACGATAGTTCTAATTTTTTTTCCAATGAACATTTGAAATGAGCTGTTTCTTTTTGTGAGCGTATGTCTTTGTTAATGGTCTTTCATTCACAGCGTCTTTGTTGATCAAGCCTCCACGTGCCCTTTGACTCAATATTGTAATTGCTGTCACGAAATATTTGAATGGAAATGTGTTGGCATCATTTAGTTGTAAACTCAAGTCGAGAGGCACGAAGATATCGCTTCGGATGTGCAAAAGTTTTGTAGCCCTAAGTAGAGCAAGATTTTAAGCGTATTATTTCAGGAATGACACAAACTCAGCATGGATTTAGTAGCGTACCGATCGAGTGACGCACATGTTATCTTTCCACTATGACCCTTTACCCCAGAAGGGATCAAAATGGAATTTCTACTTAAATATCTTTAATTTTTCTTAAGTCATAAAAATTATGGAAGACATTGTGAAGAACTGTTATTTAGATCCTGGGAATGAAAAGGTCAAATACCTCCCTGCAGCATCTCAACTGGTTACCAATCACTTTGGTTACCAGTCAAAGGTATCTTTACACTTATAGTTTGCAGGTGGAAACTGCAAACTCTAAGTGTAAAGATTTTGACTGACCTTCACAGCTTTCCTATGAATGGTGGTTAAATGTATATCAAATCAAATCTACTTAAATGAGCATAGATTCAACGTGTATAGCTAAATATAATTGGCTACTTTACTAGTTTATTGATTTCAACTGTGACAAACTACAAGCTTAAATGACTGAATATAATCAACTAGTTAACTAGTTAATCTCTTTGTTTGTGGTTGGTGGCAAGGTGACTTTGCTTGGTGGCAACAAATGGTTGGTGGTAAGGTGGTCTTATGGTGGTGACTTTATTGATGGGGAGGTGACTGGTTACCTCTCAACTGACTTCTTTTGAACCTTGAGGTCCACAATATCTCTTACATGCCATTTTTAATTTGCAGTTGTTTCAAACTGCTATATCAAAGCTGTTCCTGATGAGGTTCTGCTTCAGATATGTTCCTATCTTCAAGAGGGAGACCTTTGCAGTATGGCACAAACATGTAACAGACTTAGTGCCATTTGCCAGGATGGCTGTTTATGGTAAGTATCTGGGGAGTTATTCAGTGGAACATTGTTGATCATGTTATGTGAATGTATAGAAGACCATTAGTCCTGAAAGTGAGTGAGATTTTGACCGACCTTCAGGCTTTAACAGGATTCTAGTCTTAACCTCCAAGTTTCTAAGTGGGTGCCTCTCAAACTAACATGCAAGCTATGAAGCCACATGATGAAAGCAAGACTGAGATTTTCCATTTCTCTTTCATCACTTATCTAATTTGTCTTTAATGTCAATACAGGCGATCCCTCTATAGTCAAGTATTTGAGATGGCAAACATCATGATAAAGACTTCTGAAGGTGTCTATGTTAAACAAGAACCTGAAAATGACTTGTCCTGGAAAAGAAGCTTCCGTACACTTTATCATGCCCATCATGTTCATCCTACCACCGCAAAACAGAAGAAATTAAATCCACTACAATACACAGGAAGAAAAATTAATGTAAGCTGGCTTTAATATAAAAAGTAAATTTAAACAATATTCATTTGTTGATTCAAACGTGTCACTTTGTTATGAGCAGGGGGGGGTATTAACCCTTTACACCCTAACATCAGCATGCATATTCTCCATACTGTCCTCTATACATTTCATCCTGTGCTGACAAGGAGAATTTTTTTTTCAATCAAGCACTTGCTTAGTTGGTGATCATTTAATTTATTCTCATGACCTTAATTTGTGATTTGAGGGTGATATTGTATGGAGAAATTAGATGCTGGTCACTCTTAAGGGTCAAAGTGTTAAGGCCGTGATATTTTTACCACATTTGTGGTAACCTAGAAGATTTTAATTGAAAATATACGATATATTGAATGGTAAAATTCAATCTTTTTTTGTTAGATATTTTACACAACAATTACAGAGAAATTTAAATTAAATGCCATGATGTTTTTACCACATTTGTGGTATCTCAGAAGATTTTAATTTAAAATTTATGATATATTGAATGGTAAAATGCAATCGTTTTTGTTAGATATTTTACACAACAATTACAGAGAAATTTCAAACTTTTTTCATTGGTAACTACTGTATTTAGAATTTTTTTACCCAGTTGTTTAAAAATTTTCCTCTTTGATCATTTGAGTTGCCAAGAACATATTTCTTTTGTTTGCAAATAATTCAGTCAGAATAATTTCCATAGTGCTCCTAGAATCTAGTAAAATCCACATAAATGTTCTCATGTGCACTGTTGGGTGATGCAGAAAGTTTTTACAGTGTCCCTTTGTCTTTTCTGAGAGATCAGAACCAATAATGAGATGGTTTATGGGGTATGAATATGTTGACAACCTGCATATTTTATACTCTCTCTGTTTTTAGTATCACGAAACAATCAAAGAAGCTTTGGATGCTGTACAAGATGATGGGGTCATAATTGTACACAGTGGTGTGTATGATGAACAGCTGTCAATCAGCAAGCCTGTTGCAATCATTGGAGCAGGTACACTATAATTTTACTAAATTATTTCTAGAACCATAGTAAATGTTTCATATTTCTCTCAAGTGGTCTCTAAATTAATCTTTAACTTGCAGTGAAAAGTCTGTCACTAATTAGAGTGTCATCTTCGGTGGTCTCTACGTTGATCTTTAACTTACAATGTAAAGTGTGTCATCAGTTCGAGCTGCATTTTAATTCATCATTTGAACTTCCTACCGACTTGCCAATCCAAAACTGTTCCCTCTGATTACTTTTAGAGGGAATTTGAAGGTAGCCACTGTCAATGTAGGGAAAGGAAATTTACATCCTGTGGGTTTCACACTTCCCTCCCCCCCTTGCTCCCCAGCTCCCCAGTTTGCATATAAGGAGCCTCTCTAGACTAAGTGTGTCTTTCAACATCAATGATTAAAGGGATTTTCATGATAACTGTCACTACTTGCTTCCCCCTTTCCATTTTGTTGTTTGATTCTTTTTCCATTTTCCTCATTGAGCTCATCCAAACCTGCGTGTGACATCTTTAGGATCCAGGGCGTATAACTTGGATTTTGAAGGAAGGCATGAAGTGTCTTCCAAGGCAAGGTTCTGAATTATGGATCATGCTTGTCATGATACATTTATGATTATTAAATGACTGTTTTTCATCTCCACATCCTAAGACAGACAAGACATCATGAAAAGTTAAGTTTCGGTTAACATTTTAACCAGAAATGAGCGACTTGCTCACGGGATGGCTTCTTTTTTTATCGACAGCTAAGAGCGAAGATGATCCTGTCGTCATTCAGAGTGACTCTTCAACAGTTGTTAGTTTTATTGCTGGTTCAGGCAGCTCTTTCCTTGGGCATGTCACCTTGAAGGTATGTACAGAAAACTGCTCCAAGGGGTAATGTCAAAAGAATAGGGAACCTTACGGAAAAATCGTCCTACGCGCGCTACTTTTAAAGAAACCGTGGAAAACTATATATGACTGTAAAGCTTTTTAAGTATGGATTGCGGAAGTAACATTTTTCGAAGTTTTGATTTTGGTAAGCGCGCGCGAACCTTTAAACTCAACTCTTTTGTGGGTTTATATCTGACAAATACTCCGGCCGATTCTCACGATAATTTATCAAATCTACACTCCTTTTTTGGTTCGTTCAAGTAGAGGCAGTTCGCGTAAAAACAAACCTCGAATTTTCGGCCTCCTAAGAAATTCACAGTTTTCGCACCTCATTTACGCGCGTGTCCATGCGGTTATGCCGCCGACGAATGAAACGCAACATCGAACCCCTTGGCAAATCTCGTGACAAGGAACTCTTGAAATTCGCGGGAAAGGTCATTTTGCGAAACTGGGAACACGAATTAATATGCAAATCAAGATCCCAGACGAGAGCCCGCGAAAAAAAATTACAACACTCTCCCGGAGGCCTTTCCTGTTATGACACCTTTCGCTCTTGGGTACTAGTTACCCTGAAACACTCTTTCAGCCGTATTTCGCGTTCTTCATAAGATTTTAAAATTTTTTTGGTAATTAAACTTAACTACTTTCTCTAACTAAATAGCAAAAAACGAAATTTTTAAAATCTTGGCTAGACTTAGCACAAAAATTAATAGCACTGCATTACGCGTATTTTTTGCCGCTGGAAGATTTGAGACGAGTCGGGAGAGGTTTTTTGGGGGGTCTGGCACTAAGAATGATCAGTGCCAGACCCCTTGCAGACCTCTCGCTGTTTCTTGGAAAACTAACCCCACTTTTTTCATTTCGATGGACTTCCTTGTTCGCAGAATTGCCCAAACGGTGAATCTGAGGTGATCAGATCAGGATGTGTGGAGGTTGTTGATGACTGTGGTCCTACAATCTACAACTGCAAGCTTAATAGCCTTGCTAGTGGTAAGAGAGAGACATTAGACGTCATTTAGACGTCATATTTATAATTTTTGTTTTTTTTTAAAGTTCAAACAAACTTGTAGTAATGTCAGTAATATGTGGGAATCAGTGGACAGTTGATTTTATTTTTGTTCATAGCTGGTGCCACAGTTTATGTACATGGAAGAGGAGCCAGACCGATTTTGTCAAAATGTTTTATCTCAGACTCAGAAAATGTTGGCATTTTCATCACAGATGATGCGCAGGTGAGAAATAATCCAAAATTTACATCAAATTCCTGAACCCCTTTCCTTGCTGAAGACTTATGGGGCCAGTTATTCACCCCGTCCCGTGGTCTAACCCAAGCCGCGGTTTTACGTAAGCAGTGGGCCTCAGGTATTCTCTATAAGAGGGTTGATTAAATGAACTAAGTGTCCTTCCACTAACAGCTTTCGGCCCTCTTTTGGCTAAATTGAAGATAGCTAAGAACGCGGTTTTATTAAACAACGGCTGAACTTTGTTTGAATAACTGGTGTTAGAAGAATTACTCTTTAACACTCGGTTGAATTTTCTTTATTTCCGGTTTGAACTCCTGGTACAATTATTACTCTCGGGAACCAGCCCAGTATTGATCTTATTCACCACCGTTCAACCTATTTCTTTCGACATAAGTCCATACTGTTCTGCTTTGCTATATTCTCTCATTGAGAAATGCTGTTGGCATTTTACGGTTGAGATCGGCCAGAACGAAGACAAGATTGATAATATAAAAATTATAATTAACCTATTGGCAGAATTGAAATTACGCTTGAAAAGATAGTTTACGAGAAAATAGCCTTAGAAGATTGTTATATAACAACAGAGTAAACAGAAAATTCGGAGAAGAAGGGGTGTACCCAAGGTACCGCCCCTAAGAAAACTACGTGCTATTCGCATAAGTTATATAATTACAAATTCAGTGCGGAGATGAAAAAGCATAAGCTATTTACAATCAGAGTCACCTTTTTAAGAAGAGGTGTTGAAGGTGTTAACTTAAAATTTAAGAAATATTCTGGAATCGTGAATTTGACTTAGAATTTGACCAAAAAAAACAGTCTGATAGTAATGAATAGTATAAGAAGCAATAGTTTCCAGGAATTCCTGTGCGAGGTTAACTTTTACCAGAGAGATTTACAACTAGAAAATTGACATAATTAAAAACATAGTTTATCACAAAATAGTACAACAAGATCTAATCACCGTAGAAACGGAGCAACTGTTTCCGTACCAAATTCACAACCGCAATAAGAAAAAGGTGAAAGAAATTGTACTTAGATGAGATCGCCAAAAGGAATAAGAAATAATCAACCTGTTTTATTATAATTTTTGTATCGAATGGCTTAAAGTAATATAATATTTCCATTCTTTTTCCCAACACCAATATATGGAAACCCTTACAATATTTCAGGTTAAATATAGTTCTATTTTTATCGTTTAACACTAGTCCGTGGACTGTACTCAAGTGTGGGTCATCAAAAGACATAAGGGATTTCATACCAGAGCTTTTGCCCCGAACGGCAGAGCAGGAAATGAATTGACAAAATCATTCATGACTTACCCTGTTACGATATCGTATTGGAGACCCCCACTACATCATTTTGACGAGTTTTCCTGACAGTTTGCGTGGTCTTTATCAATACTACTGAGTGGAAAAGACCATGTAAGAGTAGGACCTTACTGTAATGACCCAGCCAAGGCTTGTGCCTAGACCTCTCAAACTGGAGGCTAGCACGCGAACTACTGGGCCGTTGTCTTACTGGTAGAAGAAAAAGAGAAAGCTGAACATGCCTTTACACTTTTGATTGTAACTGTTTCACAGGGAACGTATGAAGACTGCGAGATTACAAACATCAAGTTGGCAGGGGTGTGGGTACGGAATCATGCCAGTCCTATCATGAGAAGGAATAAAGTGCATCATGGCAGAGATGTCGGCTTCTTTATCTTCGATTATGGATTGGTGAGTTTTTTCGCAGACTATTTCAATATTTTAATATCTCTGTCATTCAACATCCCATATAATGACATAGCGCGCGGTCTTTAGGTCTTATTGAACCATCTTGGTCTACATCTCTTTTTAAGATAAGCAGAATTACGCACGCATTTGATCGGTTCTTACGTATGATCAAGATAATATTCTCTTGGTATGATCCATTGAGGACAGACGCATAGATGACATCACCATAAATTACATTTTGCCTTTTTATCATATAAGACAAGTGAGTCTGTTTAGTATTACTTCACAGATGACGTGAAAATGTGGTAAGAACTAGAACTGAAAGGCACACGAGACGCTGCGCAATAGATCATAAGTTAGAACCAATCAAACTACGTGTACAAAACAGCTTATCATATAATTCTTGAGAGGCACGGCCGTGTGAACATGGTGTGCGCGGTGGCATTTTGCCTCCAGTTTAGCTGCGCGTTCTTGTTTGTGGGAAAAAACTAGCGAAGAAATGTGTAAGCAGTACACCTGAAACTTCCTCTACTAGTATATACTAACTCTTCTTCAGGTTTTCGGCTTTTGTCAAGCTAAGAGCCCTAAAAAAATTGAAGAACATTTATTTTGAGCTTTCATTAAAGAATCTACAATTGCTCCTGGATGCGCCTCGAGCAGTTCCTCATCTTCGGCCGTTTTAAAGGGCTGCTGTTTGTCACACTACAGACTAATAAAATAGTTCTTGTAATTGCAGGGCTACTATGAAGGAAACGATGTTTACAACAACCGTATAGCCGGATTTGAGATTCGGTCACACGCCAATCCAACAGTCGTGGGATGTAAAATACACCACGGTATGACGGGTGGTATATACTGTCATGACGATGTAAGTACACTTTGTTTCATTTACATTGCAAATGTATTTGTGTGTTTTAAAAACTTAATGGTGTATATTTAACTAACAGGCGCGTGGTGAATTCCTGGAAAATAAGATATATTCTAACACATACGCTGGAGTTTGGATCACATCACAGAGCAATCCAACCATAAAGTAAGAAAGATTTTCGTGTTCTTCTGTTTATTAGATTGCAAAATTTCTTCATGAATCTTCTTGTTCGAAATCTCTCACGTCTTTTGGATTAAAAAAAAACTTCGCACGCAAAACTTGTCAATATTCAATGCCGGGGAAAATTTGTCTAAAGTAGGTGCGCACTCATCATGAGTACACCTTCAAGGAAGTGCCTTCTGCACTTGGCGTAGCCTGCGAGAAGGTCCTCGTAATAGCGCTGCAGACCGCGCATTTCTCCGCCCGCGGGAACATATGAGACGAATATCGGTAAGGTTTGGCGGAGGTCTGGCACTAATGATGAGCATTTTCAGTGCCAGACCCCTGGCAGACATCTAGTTGAGTTGCATTGCTCAAGGCCTCATATACTATCCCACGAGTGAAGAAACGTCCGTCCCGAAGTGCTTATGGTGAGCGCATGCTCACAGGCTGCACTTCGCATTACCTCAATTTCTTGAAAAGCAACTATTTAATCTGTGATTTTGCTATTTTTTGCAAACTCTGCACAAACTCCGGCATGGTTAGCTCTTCGTTGTGCAGTATGAGAGGTTTACCATTTCGCTTCTAGCTTCTCCTTGACAAGATTACGGTTCATTTTCAGCTTAAGTGCGAAGTAAACTTGCTAACTACTTTAATTTATTGTATTTTAGAAACAACGAGATCTACGATGGACAACAAGGAGGTGAGCGACACTTTTTGTATCTGAATTGCTTTGTTATTGTCGTTACTGTTTTTTTCCGTGATCGCGCTCATCAATACACCATGAAATTGACATGATTAAGAACATTACGAAACTCGATATAACTGCACTGAAAACATGCAAATAAAAGTTAATCACCATCATGTTTCTTTAGCGCCATTGTTGTGAACTGGGAACTTAATCAAGATTTCTCTTTAAATCCAAGCTACCTTTATTTGACGTGATTGATAAAAATCTTACGAAAGCATTATGGTCTCGTTTGTCTTTTGTAGGAGTTTATGTATTCGGCGAAGGAAAAGGATTGATTGAAGGAAATAACATTCATGGTTTGTATTAATTTTGTCTCTTAGTCCCTACTTCAAGTTTGTCAAACAGATTGTTCAAGTAATCCTTTGTGCCAAGGTTTTCTCGATTGAGTGCAACAAAAGCAAAATTAACTAATTGGACCTGAAAGAAAACATTGATCAATGTCAGTATCTGAGCAACTGCATACCTACCCCTCCCCTAACCCAACAGTAACCCTGACTTGTTATCAGTTGACTGTTTTTGGGTTAGGGGAGGGGTATGTGTGCTGTCAGGTATTGACATTTATCCCAAAACAAACTCAACTTACTTGAAGTGCGTGATAACGCGAGCGATCAAGTCATGATTTTGCGTCTCATTCGCTGAGGATGGCATGAGTTTTAATGACCAATCACAGCGCGCAGCAAAGGGAAACCAGTGCAGTTTTGTAAAACTCTTGATACTACAACAATTCATATGACGGATTTTGTGAAACTTCTTCGGTAACTTATCAAGATGTTCTTTGGTTTTTCCCCATTCAGACAATGCACTGGCCGGAATCCAGATCAGAACTAAGAGTAATCCTATTGTTCGCTGCAATAGAATACACAGCGGACTTCACGGGGGAATTTATGTGGTAAGTATTTACAAAAGGCCAGTGCAGGAAACTATTGATATTGTATTACATGATGAGCTGGATTGTACTCGCTTTTTTATTGGGTCTTACTTATCACCTATTTAGATTTAAGTTGCTGTGCTTCTGTACAGTAATAGATCACAGAAGATGTCAAGATGTGATGAGAACGTCGGTGGCACACTCGGCTGCGTCTCGTGTGCGACTTTGTTGTTCTTATTACAAATTGACGTCATCTGTGAGTTATGTTCTCAAAGAACTAATCAAAAATCATTCATAATTCTACGTTTGTGCCCTGTTCCGCGAGTTTGTCTTTGGCAATCCGTGTTAATCTTCTCCATCCTTTGTTACACTTGTTCTTCTTGTTCTAGTATTGCCTTCTTCGGGTTTTTTTTAATACCCAAACAGATATTTTGTATCGCTGCGTAGCCCTATCAAAATAACTCAACAAAGATCCCTTAGATACTCTTCACCCAGGATGTGCACACTTGCATTTCCGAACCACGAAAAAAAATGGGTATTTTCTCCTTTTGTGTGCCGCTATGACTAAAACAGCGATTCTGCATCAGATTTACCGGCTTCTCTCACGAGGAATCTTGTCGTTTTTATTCTCAGCACGAGGAAGGTATGGGACTCATAGAGGACAACGAAATCAACAATAACACCCTGGCTGGTGTGTGGATAACCACAGGTATAAACAATTAGACTGGAAAAGTACGCTGGGGGAGGAGAGGTGCTGCAAAATTTATTTTTGTGGGTGGGGGGTGGTTACACCCACATCTTGCTGACTTAATGAAATAGGTCATGGCATAGTCCCCTCGATTAACTATGGTCATGGAAGACTTAGTTCGGAATACCTTATTTTATCCTATAACTTGGTGAAGACTGATGAATTTTAACTGGAAAGTATTCTTAAAACACTGCAATGAAAATAATGCCTACATGGAAACCATCCTTAAGTCTCCATCATTGATGTTCTTCTTTGCCTTTTCTTGTGCTTAGGAAGCACACCCACGCTCAGAAACAACAGGATCCACAGTGGAAAACAGGTAGAACTCGTCGACATTAGCTACATTCATCAATAGAGTAAAGTTTTCCGACGGTAATGCCATTAAATGTTTAAAAGACAACTTTATTAAAAATTGCTATTGTTTAGGATTTGCTTAATCCTGCTCTGAACAATTGAAACCAACATAATTAAGAGTTCTTTTCGAATTTTCAAATTAGATGAAACTGATACTGAATCTAAACGAATAGAAACAATATTTGTCTTGATAAACTCCCTTGGGAGCTTATGCACTCTCTCTACGTTTTAGCTTGCAGCTGAGCGTACCTAAACTGGACATAACAAGCAAACAATTCTGTGTAACGTTAACACTCTGCACCTTAATTAACCAAAGGACACGGAGAGACAAAATTCAGCCATAACGAACAACCGTTTTGTTTTTCAGAAATTGACGCACATCCTAGGACTGGGGACAAACAACTGCACTTGAGGTTAAAGCACAAAGCTAAATCGAGTTTAACCGGTTTGGTCGGTTTGAAATTGTAAAACACGTCCCAAGTTTTAAACTAAGTAAACATAAAAAAGTGCACCGTAATTATTAAATGAAAGGCTTATCTTAAATTAAAAAAGTATTAAATTAACTTGCCTACATTATCCTCTAAACTAATTTTATTTCTATTCGTTTACCAAACATGTTTCGTTTGACTGACCTTACTATGATGGCTTCATAACTTTTAAACTTAGTTTCAATTTTAAAAAAATTGCTGAAGCTTGTTACAATCAAGTTACGTCATTTAAAATGAAACGTTAATTCTTAAATGTCCCGTAAATGTTTTTAAAAGGCAAAGTGTTTAAAAGCAAACTTTTAAATCTTATTTTTGAGAAATTTATTCACTTTAAGCTTTTCCCCATTGTTGATAAACTCAGTTCTATATAAATTTATAATGCCAGTGTCAGTAAGGTGATAAACTTGTCTTCGTCAAGTGTCCAGTCTGTCTTTTCAGCCGATGTATTACGTTCTGAGCCATTTCTTTTGATTGTTACTGTCGCTAATAACTTATTCGAAATACACTGCTCCTCTGAAGTAGGTTGGGGTACCTTACCTTAAAGAAAATTCGAAAATAATATTATGCGAGTGTGGACGCTGACAAAACTGCAAGCAACCCAAACTATAGTTGCCTTTTTGCATGTTGTGAAGTATATAGGCTACGATTCTCCATATATTAGTAAGGCGTCAAAACGTTATGGAAGGAAACCTTGGGCGAGTTTGTCAGTGAAGGAGCATTCGGTTAGACAGCTGACATGGCTCTTCAGTGGGGACAGGGATTCTCCTCCTCCCCCCTTCTGTTCCTCAGTTATTTGTCCCACTCATACTTGGAAGCCTGACTTCGGGCAAAGCTCAAAGAAGCAAGCTTTAAACGGCCTAAGGAACTTACATTCGGTTGTCTTCCAGGTTGGAGTTTACTTCTATGATGGAGGATGTGGAATTCTCGAGGAAAACGAAATCTTTAATCACAAATATTCAGGAATACAAATAAGGTAAAGATAACAACAATAATAGAGACACAAAATGACATCTTTCTTCGATCGACGACAGAACCCAATGTTGATCATCTTTTGTTGTGTATATGGAGCAGACGCCTATCTGCGTATAACAAGGCGCTTGCGCTCGTAAGATTTCTTATGTGTTTCACCTATAAATTCGTATGCATGTGAAGAACTTGTGAAATGTATTTTGAAAGGATTTGAGAAATAATATCCATTTCGAGCTTGTCGATTGGTTCTTGAAGCTTGCACATCGAAAAAATAAATAAATAAATAAATAAAAGAAACGTAGCACTTATGCGCATTAGAGCCTTGATGGTACTTGGTGTCTAAACCTGAACGGATCCAAATTTTCAATTTGGACCTCCTAAGGATCGTTTGAGTAAATGTGATCATACTTGCACTGGATTCGAACTCATGGCCTCACACGCCTGTGTGGCGCTTAAATCAACTGATCCTTTAGGCCAACTGCGAGATAAACCAGCTCTCGCTTCAAACGAGCTTTCTATTTTACTAACCTCGTGTAGTTGTCATGAAATGTCTTGTGCACTTTCCTTGCTGTAGATCGGGCAGCAATCCCTGTATCAGAAGAAATAAGATTTGGGGAGGACAGAATGGTGGCGTTCTGGCCTACAACGGAGGTAGAGTATTTACAAAATTATCACACTATGCCTTGGCTCTGAGCAATTCATATCGCCGTCCTTCAGTTATTTATTTATTATGCCTTAAATCAGAAACAAAGAAACAAACAAAAAACTTTGGCTTTAGTCGTTTGATTTCTTTCTTTATTCAAGGTCTTGGTCTGTTGGAAGAAAATGAGATTTTCGACAACGCGATGGCAGGAGTCTGGATCAAGACTGAGAGTAACCCAGTCCTCCGGAGAAACAAGATTCACGACGGTCGGGAGGGAGGGGTGTGTGTGTTCAACCATGGAAAAGGTAAGGCTTGGAACTCCTACGTAAATCCCGGAACGTGCCGTGTAGAGTTAGGAATCCATCGGGGCTGAAATTGTGTCCTTAAACCCTTTCGACATACCACGGCTAATTTAACCTTTTATATCTTAATTATTTCTCCCTCTTATGTGCAACACATTTCTTTGTAAACTTAGTGGTAGAAATGAAACTTTCAAGCTGCTCCGTTTTTCTATTCTCCTATCTTTGTACTGGACAATATGTTGTTCCAAGGACAAGTTAGTTGCGAGTCACTCCAGGGAAATGAACGGGTTAATCATTGTTGACGAGAATACCTGACCTGCAGACCGTTTCTCGAATGTCCCGGTAACTTAACGGCACCCGAGCCATATTTTAAAAATCAAAAGTTATTGAAAAGGAAAGCAGGCTCTGGCAACCTGACCAGTCCATTTTGTTTCTTTGGCTATTCGTTTTCTTGTATAATTCTCAGAACTTTTAGAAACCTCCATTTTGAATATGAAAACAGAACAACCTTACGGCCGGGCCCGTTAGTTTAGTAGAGAGTTTAAGAAACGACGGCGACGGCGGCGACGCCGTGAACAAAGCCGGTTAAAAAACGAATCTCGCGATACTGTAAAGTCATTTGGCTTGTTTCTGACTGTCAAAACTATTTCGAAATTGAATATGGAACACAGCGTTAAATTAGAAATAGAAATTTAAGAAATTAGCCGTCGTCGTTCACGTTCTCCAGACAACACAAAGTTTGGTCATTTTGCGTTGTTTCGCAGAGGAGGCAAAGAAATGTACAAAGATTTATAACGCCGTGCACAGCCATTGTTCTGCTCATTAAACTTTGCCGTTACCATAGTGGTTTTCTTAAACTCCCGAATCGGTTCTTCGAGAAATGGGCCCCAGGAAGACCGCCATCTCTTGTCTACAAACAGTTGATGTACCTCACTGTCACTGATCTACTATTATATTCCTTTTCAGGTGTTTTGGAGAATAATGACATCTTCAGAAATGCCTTGACAGGTAAGCCTCGTAAATTTGGATTGAATAAAAGTTCGTTCCCTGGCATAGGTCAGTCTTCTTTACTCTCTCGACAGAAATCTGAATATTACCTTTCGAAGTTACTTAAAGCAATAATTATTTTTCTGATACATGGTTGATCTGTTAGGGTTCGTGGAAATCAAGTGTTTTAAAGCAAAAACAAAGTGTTGAAAACGACCAATCAGAAAAAAGGCGATGGAAGTACTTTAAAGAACCAATCAAATTAAAAAAAAAAACCAGAAGTAAACTTCTTGGATCAATATCAGTATCTGGGCAACTGCCCACCTACCCCTCCCCTAACCCAACATTAACTTTAACTTGTTGTCAATTGACTGTTGTTGAGTTTGGGGGGGGGGGGGGGGGGGTAGATGGGCAGTTGCCTAGATACTGATGTTGATCCAACTTCTTTAAGGGCAAGAAAACGCGGGTTTGCCAGTTGTGACTGGTGTTAGTTTAACATCTGATAGAATAAGAGGTTGGCGGGAGTTTTAAAAACTAATGGCAGCGAACTGAAGAAGGCAGTCTAGGACTACCTTCGATACTCAGTTGAAGATAACTCTCACTCAAAACCTTTGATGAACCGTTTACAATAAGTCCGTCAGTATTTTTACTAAACAATGTATTGATCCTGTGCACTTCTCTATTGTTCAGGTGTGCTTATCAGTACAGCAAGTTTTCCTGTGTTAAAAAGCAATCGTATTTTTGATGGTGGTGCCGCGGGAATTGAGATAACAAACAGTGCTGGTGAGCAACATAACTCCTTCACTATCATCACTCTTTATTGAATGATCTTTAGAAAATCTCACCTCCCTTTGCTTCACCCGTGAATTTTTGTTATCACTTTTGTTTCTCTAGATCTGTGCGCTTCAGAAATTGAAAAGAATTTACTCTTGGCAATAAAATTCATCTTGAATTTGCAAATCATCAAAAAGATTAATCTTAAAAATGGTCTCTTCGTACTTTCATCGATTCTCTAATTGACCCGAAATGAGTTAACCCTTTAACTCCCATGAGTGACCAAGACAGAATTTCTCCTTACAATATCAAGACAATATCAACCAGACAGGTGATGAGAGTAAAGAAAACTATCAGTTTGGGGATAGTTAGTGGATCCAATGCTAAATTCTTTAAACATTGTAAGAATTGTATGGTTGACAGTAAGGAGAATTACAAATTTGGTCTGGGAGTCAAAGGATTAACTCTTGCTCGTTTAATCTCCTGACCATAAACTAACACTGAAACAAATCATGTCATCCTTACTTTTTCAGGCGGAGTTCTAGAAGAAAACGAAGTCTTCAATAACCGGTTTGACGGGATTTGTCTGGCCACTGGTGTCGAGCCCAAACTTAGCAGTGAGTATAATGTTTGACTTACCCCTACCCTACCCGTTTATCAGTGTTACATTCTCTGGCACTAATGATTACTACTCTCCCCTCCCTCAGATAACAAAGTACACGGTAACAGAAGAGAAGTTGAGCAAGCTATAGAGTCTTGTCGCTGTTTGTATCAAGTGTCTGGTAACACATGCTATCCGATGCACGATTTTTACAGGTGAGCATACTCAAAGGTGTTAAGCATGTGACCTCTCTTAACACTATCAATACATTATCCAGAAAACAGCTGATAAGATAGACAGACGTTTAAGGCGTAAGGTGTCATCTTGACAAAAAAGCAAATTCTCGTCAAAGAGATAAACAAGGAAATGCATACGCGAAAATTGCTTCATGGGTTGGAGGGCTATTTTTATTTTTATTGATTGATCTATTTTATGTTCCGTTTTCTATCTCTTAGCGCCCTGCCGTTTTTTTGAGACACCAATTTACCAATCTAAGCTGAGTTCAGAATATATTACTCACCGTCCCCATCGTTTTACCCCTCAATCTTTTTGTTTTTCTGCTGGATAGTGACTTAGTCAGCAACTTAGTCCAGCGGTCTATCAGACATTATAATAAAGTTCGGATATAACGCGCGTTGTCATTGGTTGAAAGAGTGTGCTCTATGAGAGTTGATATAATAAGCTCAGTTATGCACGCATTCTGATTGGTTCTCACTTATGATCTATTGGAGGACAGACGTATAGATGACGTCATCATTAAAACTTTTTTTTTTTAATTCTTTATTATATAAAACAAATAGATTCCAAGTTGCCGTGCGTCTGTTCAGTAATAGATCACAGATGACGTCAAAATGTGGTAAGAACAAAAAAGTGGCACACGAGGCGCAGCCGAGTGTGTCACTGATGATATAAACTCTCAAAAAAAAAGTTTTAATGATAACGTCATCTATACGTCTCTCCTCCAATAGATCATGAGTGAGAACCAATCAGAATGCGTGCATAACTGAGCTTATTATATAATTGTTAAATAGAGCATAGAGCTGAGCTAAAGCTGTCACGCCATCTGCCAAATTGTACTATGTTCGACCTTTTCCGGGACTTCCTTTTTAGCTTTTTTTCCGATAATTGAAAGTGAAATTTCGGAACAAGCGAGCCGGCAAGTAGCAACAGAAGAACCAAACAAAGGTTTGTAAACCTACCAGGCGCCGTAATTTACGTTATTAAAACGTGAGCAGATACGAAAATCCTCAAAGGAAAAACAAAATAGACATTCCGAGTTTTAAAGATTAATTCACGCACAGTTAGATTGCAAGTTTACGTACGGAAATAAAAATCAAACACAGCTATCACTCATACAGTATATAAAGTTCAGTGTTCAAAAACAAAACAGAACAAAACAGAAATGATGAAAAATATAACCAATCTGGCATAACTGTTAAAATTCATTCTAATCATGACGGTGTCTGAGCGAATATGATCATGCTGAAGTCCATCGCGGCTCGCTCATCACAGTAAAGCAAGCCTCAGAAACTACATCGGCCACCCTTCGAATGAAAAAATAAGAGCTTGCTCTGATATCCTTTCCGATGCGTAGAGTGGAAAGTCACATCTGTCACTGCAGCCGAGTTTTGCCGCGCTGTCATTCCTAGCGATCTTCATGTTCCGGTGAATTGGGCTGTCGTTCATTCAAAAAACACTCGCCTTGAACAGTTTGTTTTCTACCTTGTCATGTGAAAAAACTCGCGTGTTTTTATGAGCCGTAATTCGGCTGAATTTCACGGAACATTTCACTTCAAGATTCTGTATTAGAGACTTAAAAACTTCAGGCAAAAGTGTTAAATTCGACCTGCCGAACCATTTTAGTTTGTGAACTATCGTAGAATGTGAACTTTGATGGTTTTTGAACTTTGATGGTTTGACACTTTTGACAGCTTTTGTCTTGTACAGCCAATCAGATTATTTGAACCATTCTTACAGGGATTCTGATTGGCTTATTGTAGCGTGCTCTATGAGAGTATAGAGCATGCTGACGACACTGTTGTTCGCTTTGGAAATAAAGTTTGTTTTGAAAATTGAAAGTAATGCTCGGGGAATTTAATGGATTCTTTATTATAAAACAAATAGAGAAGCCTTGACTGTGCTCTGTTCTGTTATAAAGCACTTAGGAAGCGGCTAGAGCACTCAAGAAGTGGGGAGAAACACTCGGCTACGTCTCGTGTTTCTCTCTATACATCTTTCGTGCTCTAGCTGCCTCCTGCGTGCTTTATAACAGAACAGAACACAGTCAAGGCTTCTCTATTTGTTAAATAAAGATTCCGTATTTAGTATAAATTTAGTCGATTACGTAGTTAGTAAATGGTCATAAGCATTCCAAAGCCATATGAACTAACTGAGCTCTGTTATTCAGTCACCATTGCGTGAACACAAATTCAATAGATTTTGCACGGTCGGTTGGAGAGCTCTTACGTTAACGTTGCAGCGCTGTTGTTTTCAAATGTTATCTTTGACTGGTTTCTTAACCAGTCATCACTGCTTTCTTGATATGGACGTATCTCTTAACGTATTTATGCTAACCCTTAGGTGCACCACTTGTGGTACGTCGGATGGCTACGCCATTTGCGTCAGTTGTGTGAAAGGGTGTCACGAGGGACATGACGTGAAGTTTGTCAGACGTGACAGGTACAGTATTACAACACTTAAACCACTAGTTATATATATGACAGTCTGATTGAATAGACAAGAACATCAGTGACACACCCGGCTGCACCTTGTGTGCCACGTTTCTTTTTCACCTCTTTTTGACGTCGTCTGAAATCTATCACTGAACAGAAGCACAGCAACACGGAAACTTTTTTTTAATAAATCTGGATTTTGAAACTGTTATTCGTTCCTCTAATTGAAGTCAGTTATCCTTGCTTCTTGTTTGATAAGTGATAGGTTGAAGAGACTGAAGCTTCGTAGGTTTTCGTCAAGAAAAAAACCCTTTGAGACTCCATAACACTTTAAAAATAGACTCCATTTTGGCATGCGTCTGTTTTACAAATAGATTCCAAGTTGTCGTGCGTCTGTTCAGTAATAGATCACAGATGACGACAAAAGTGGCACACGAGGCGCAGCCGAGTGTGTCACTGATGTTCTTACCACATTTTGACGTCCTCTGTGATCTAGTACTGAACAGACGCACGGCAACCTGGAATCTATTTGTTTTATATAATAAAGAATTAAAAAAAGTTTAAATGATGACGTCATCTATACGTCTGTCCTCCAATAGATCATAAGTGAGAACCAATCAGAATGCTTGCATAACTGAGCTTATTATATAATTAATTATAGATCACAGGTGATGACAAAATGTGATCACAGATATTCCTATTACATTCGGACGTCTTCTGTGGTCTATTACTGCACAGAGCCATGACTACAGGGAATCTGTTTGTTTTGTATCATAGAAACGCAAAATGCTGTTAATGTCGACGTCATCTATGCGTCTGACCTCCCATATATTATAAGAAAGAACGGCAGTGCTGTATCATTCAGTTCATCGTCTAATTTTTAATGATGAGAATCCAGCAACAAGGATTAAATCTCCAGTCTTATACATGAACGAATTTTGAATTGAATTTATAATAACCAAATCAGCCACAGAATTCGTTGGTGCACACTTCTCCCGGTTTTTTCGTTAATCTCTTTCCCTACCCTCATTTGATCTAACTCCCGTCTGGGAAGGTTTTTTTTAAGTTGGTTAACTGTCGATTATTTCGACGTTTGAGATGATCAGAAATGTTTTCATCCATATTTTTAGGTTTTTCTGCGACTGTGGAGCAGGTTCTAGTGGAGTTCTGTGTAAACTTGTTAGCGGCAATTGCTGGTCAGTGGCATCTCGGACGCAGGCAGCTCGAGTGGCCAGTGGTGGTCAAACAGAAACGTCTGCGCAAGAAGTTAGAGACAATCAGGCTCTTTGCGTTTCTTGACGATTCGACGATGTTGAAGAATCTTACAGTGACATAAAGATTTAAAAGTAAACAAGTCTTAAACTACTCTCAACACATACGTACAAGGAGATCATTTCTTTGCTTACCCTTCTCAGCAAGTACATCTTTGTCGCGCTGATCTGTGAACTACAAATGTGCAGCTTAACTTTTTCAACTTTCTTTGATGTAAACTATATATACCGCACTATATATAACTAGGAATGAAGCAGGATGTTTTAACTGGAGGAGGATGGGGAGAAGCCTCCAGGCTATTTGTTTTATAATTTTTTTTTTCTTGACATCGAATCAGCCACTTGCTCACAAGAACTTGCTCCCCTCCCTGAATTTGCACGTTTTGTGAAAGATTCCATCAAGTGTGTTGTATCAAAATCGCTAAATCACAATAGTGAGGGGAAAACAGTTGCGTTTGAAAGCAACTAAATTGTGCCCCTGTGCTATATTATAACCCCACAGTTTAACCAGGTTTTTTAAGATATTTCGCTTAAGGGGAATCTTGTTTGGAAAAAAATATACATTTTATCATCTTAACACGGCAAATCGTTCGTTTCAAAGTATTAATGAAGCGACTATTTATGATTCTTTCATGAACAGTATTTATTTCTACATGCGCTTCATCCGATAGTCAACAGCTCACATGAACTTCCAGTAATCAAACTGGCGAGATTTTTATGCATAGTCCCAGCTATAACGTAGGTGTATATAGTGATAGAAAGATAAGTTAAGACATACTAAAGACAAAAATATGCTTTGAGAGAGAAAAGTATTTATTAATTTAAGAGATGAACTTCATGGGTAAAAAGGAAAATAAACTGTTCTACTGGAAATTCGAACTCTCTTTGGTAATGTTATGAAGTGAAGGCTGTCGGGTGGACGCTTCTCAATGGGTCATACAGTGATATCAGTCACCTTTGTAATAATAATAATGATAATAATACTTTATTTGTATAGCTCTATTTCTATCGCTATCGAATAGCGCTTTACATTGACTGAATTAAACATAGAGTGCTTGAAAATTTCAACTGACAGGAGGCTGACCAGTTGGCTATTTACCCAGCGCAGCCGAGAGATTGAACTCGGGGCGACCGGGGAAAAATCCAGTGAATGGCAGGGTGGAGGACTTGAACCCGAGACTACTAGATTACAAGACCACCACTGTAACCACTCGGCCACGCCGCCTCGAGTTACTTAAGCAATTGACGCACTTTCTATCGGCGCAATAAGCCACTTTGGTTTACTGGTAACGTAAACGATAGGAACGAGTAATGAAGATTCCTGAGAGCGCAAGAGATCCTGACGTAAAAATCGATTAAAAGAGATTCCATAGAGTATGAGACATACTGACGTAACAATCCACTAAAATAGAATCCTTAGAGTCCGCGAGTTACTGATGTAACAATCAATTGAAACAGATTCCTTAGAGTGCAAGAGAAACTAACTTAGCAATCCATCGACACGGATTCCTTAGAGTCCGCGAGTTACTGACGTAACAATCAGTTGAACATATTCCTTAGAGTGCGAGAGTTACTGACGTAACAATCAGTTGAACATATTCCTTAGAGTGCGAGAGATACTGACGTAACAATCAGTTGAACATATTCCTTAGAGTGCGAGAGATACTGACGTAACAATCAGTTGAACATATTCCTTAGAGTGCGAGAGATACTGACGTAACAATCAGTTGAACATATTCCTTAGAGTGCGAGAGATACCGACGTAACAATCCACTGAAACAGATTCCTAAGAGTGCGAGAGATATCAATTCATCAATCTTTACTAAACATGCTCCTCTTGCGGGCGCTAGAAGACATATCTGGACATATCTGGATCCAGTCCAGTGCAACCCTTTCCTTAAACATGCCGTGAGGAAACTGGATTCCAACATGGAGTCGTTTCTTGTCTTCTTACGCAGCAATAATCTTCTGTACTATGTCATCTGGTGAACAGTTTCCGCTAGATACATATTTAGGCACATTCCCTTTCTAACAGAATTCTTCCAGAATGAGGTAAGAAAGAAAGTTTCTGTATGCAGCTCCAAATATTGAAAGTTATAGTGTTTCAATCTAGGTACGCATTGTACTTTATTACTCGGGCTTTCCAAGGGAGACGCCCAAGTTGAAATTCCGGCTTGATTTTTTTTCCGTTCGGTCGCAAATCACAGTCAAGTCCTCATCACGCATGCGTAATCGTTTGAGTCTGACGCATGCGCGACGTTTTGACTTATGAGCACACAGAATGGTGTAATGGCGGACGAAGAGCGAAGAGAAGCTTTCGCCGCGCAAAATCAGCACAGACACAGTGTATAAGACGCTCAAAACGCATACAAAATATGCTCACATCGTTTGCGGTAGACCCACACTAAAATATGTCGAGCGTTTTCGGAACGGGTTGGTCTGTGAACCTTATGAGATATCTCTTTATGAGCGAACATTTATGAGTGAACCTTTCATCGAGAAACATGCTATATCAACTGAGCTATCTAATGTTAATCGAGAGAAGCATAGACGCAAATCTCATCGTGTATGTAGACGTGATCGTGAACCAAGCAGAATACCAATACGAAGTTTGAAAAGGTTAAGGAACAAGAGCAGAAAGGTTAGAAAAATTTGTCTATGCATCATACTGCTATGTTAACGCTAAAAAACTATTAAATAAAAAGACATTTAAGTTTAACTGTCGTGAAAGAATTCGTCAATGTATATGAAAGGTAAAATATCGTGCCAGTCGATATTTAAAATTGTTTTCTTGTAACAAACTGATGTGTTCTTGACTGAAGCTCATGTAGCAAATTATTGCAACTATAAATTAAGTTGAGACAAAATCCTGGCCCTCCAACATATGTTGACCCTAACAAAACAATAGTAGCTTCCTTAGCCAAGGTAACGAGTTAGTTTTTGGACAGAATGCAGGACAACAATGTGTTGCAATGAGTTTGTGTTTTTTGATTTACAATGACACACAAGGGATCAGCTCTGCAAATGATCTTATACAAATAATGAATATTGGAAATCAGCTTTATTCAACATTGTCATGATTAGCCAGACAGGCACAATTAATGCAGTCAGAATTACCAACAGCATTAAATGTGTTTGATACTGATTATCAACTGGAATACAGTGAAAGCTACTCTGGTACTGTTCACCTAGAAATTGCTATACAGGGGTATCAGTACTGTACATCTTTACCAAGAGCCTTTGAGTCGCTCATATTTGAAAGCTACACCAATTTCATATTAACAGTAGGGTGTATTACTGTAATAGTAATATGGGGTTCAAAATATTTGATTCTCATGTAAGATATTTGTATGGTAGAGGGCAGCCTCAAGGTACATGTGTTCTTCTCGAGGTACCATCTCTTGATAGTTTAGTGCATTATTTTCAGAGTATACATAATGATATATTTGAAGTGAGAGGAGTACAAATTGAGAATATTCAAAAAGGATGGTTTCTCTAAACAGTCTGAATGAAACCATAAACTTTAATCTAAGTTGTGCTGTAGCTCTACACTCTCTTTGCTACTCTATAATGAAATCATGTAATTACTGGAATTACAACTCATCCTTACCCACCATTGTTGACAAAGGCAAAAAGATGTGTTGTAAATCAAGTTTAGAACATAACCAGCAATCACCAGCTAATCTTCCAAGAACTGCTAGATGTTTGTGAAACTGAAGTAAATTTGACTAATTTGTTTGAGAGTGAAGGACTATTAACTGATTCACTTCAAAGCAAGTCAATTCTTGAGAATGAAATAATACATAATAGTGAATGCACAGGGTTTTTGATATCATTTTCTTCATACTGCATTAGTTGTACCTTTAAACCCACAAAAAGATTTAAATATATGTATTCCCCCCTGCTTTATAATGAAAGACACACGTCCCCTATTCAGTACATTAAAAACATAAATGGAATGGCTTCACTTGTTGATGCCATTAGAAAAATACTAGAGAAATATAATACTCTAGGGCAATACAGAATACTGTTTGGTACATGTTCATGTAAAGTAGTTGATAGAAAGGAAAGAAAAAAATTGATGATTAAACATAGGAAAAAAACAATATTATAAAGCAATGGAGCCAGCAGAGAAATATTCTTGGAGAAAAAAAAATTTAGGGATGTGAAAAATAAACAGGAAATATAGAAAAAACGGCCCAAAAATACAAAATGGATCCGGTTAATCAGTATCTTCAGGATGCATTAGCCTTGACTGAATGCATTGAATATCACCCTCTGTTTGTGAAGCAGTTCTGAATCTATTTAATAACTCTGTGAATGGTTGGTCATCCTTTTGTCTCATATTTTTAGTCAACTCTATCATCTTGGAGAGTAGCCAGGAATGGCACAAATTGTAAACATTTTTATATTCTTGAAAGACAAATTTTCTTCAAATTGGTGGAAGTTAATACAAATCACCTACTGTAATAATGCTAAGTCCTGACAATAGACAGTTGTTTGATGTTGACAATATTTCTTTTAGTTTTTGATGGATTTGCAGTAGCAAAGTATTTGATACCACAGAGATTTCATCAATTATTATCAGTTTTAAATCTGACAGTGCCATTCTTATGTGTTTTTTTATTTTGGTCTGACATTGGTGAAACAAGAGAAAAAACTTTATTGTTTTAGGCAAATGCAAGCACAAAAAACAAAGTAAACACTTTTCGATAAACGCTTTTTCAGGCACATTCCCTTTCTAACAGAATTGTTCCAGAATGAGGTAAGAAAGAAAGTTCCTGTGTACAGCTCTGAATATTAAAAGTTATAGTGTTTCAATCTAGGTACACATTGTGCTTTCTTGCTCAATTTTCTCAGTAGATAACCTAATGTCGGGGATGAATAATAAGATGACCTATTACAAATGACTGGAGTGACAACATACAACTTCTGAAATAGATTTCACTCGATTTAATTATTTAACTACCTTCAAGGTGATTCATCAGAAAAGAAGTTGTTGGACAATCTTTTGTAAACTTTCCCTAAATGTTCCTTACCAATGTCTGTTTCGAAAAATACAATAAGAGATGGGTCACTGCGCTTGTTTAGGAGATATACCATAGTTATTCGGTTATAAGGTGCACTGTTTTTTTTAAGAAATTCCTAATTTCTACTAAAAATTACCGCTAAAGTTTGGGTGCATCTTATAGGTGAATATTTTCCCAAAACAATTTTTTTTTATCACAGTTACTGTTACAATTTCAAGCAAATAAGAAATTCCATAATTCCTTGCTATCTCTCGATTGTTGTTAACAGCTTCCGCTTCAGCTACGATTTTCAACTCAAAGTTGAGATCGTAAGAATGACGGCAAGTGTTTGGCATGATTGGGCTGAATGTAGATTTCACAAGATAATGTTCACCAGGTGAAGTAAATTTGCGACTACTGATTTTGTTGATTGAATTGTTTTTATACTTTAAAACTGTGTTTCCCTAAAGGGAAGGCTAAAAATTAATATGTACCGATAGGTTGTCATTAAATGTGTGACTTTTTTTGCCTTTTGTTTATCACTGTGATTAAATGTGTGACATTTTGCTTTTGTTTATAATCAAGGCTTTTGTTTGTGCGCGTGGTCTGCTTTTGTTAATTAATGGTAAACTAAAATCAATACGCGACTTTTTCGCTTTTTTGTAAGTTTATGAAACTTTACCGATCTTTACTCCCCAAACAACGGTGTGCCTTATAACCAAGTATTTTTGCAATTTTTTCTGTTTGAAAACATGCAATAATGAAGTTGCTGAATTGGGGGTGCATCTTATAGCCAAGTGTGCCTTATAACCAAATAACTATGATATGCACCAAATTTACCCCATTTATGCCTGTACTAGCACTAATCATGCCTGTCATTTCATCAGTTCACTGTACATTTTGCTGTAGTTGGAAAAAACTAGATAGGTAGTAAGTCTCAAGTGTATGGAACAATTTGATATATAATTTGTGGGAATAGCACGCAAATTTAAACAATATCAACTCAAAATGTTCCTCGAGTCATTCCTTTCAGGGTCATAATTTGCCTCTTTGAGTAATGGCTTTGTGCACCAAAATTATGGGAAATAAAACATAGTCACTGTGCTCATTTAAGAGGTAAAGACCATAGCACCTCTTTACCTGGTCCATTGATTGACAAACAATATCATGTTCTTGGAATGGAAATGTGCTTATTGGCTTGATTATGTGATATTATGCACAGTACACGATGTGCAGTGCTATACTAAGGAATCACCTTAACACTTTTACTCCTCAGATCTCATTAGTAATTCTCCTTACTGTCTGCCATATAGTTCTTGTGATGAAAGTTTGGAGAATTTGGTATTGGATCAACTAGTAATTCCCAAATAAATATTTTTCTTCATTCTCATCACTTGTCTGCTTGATATTGTATTGATATTGTAAGGAGAAATTCTGTCTTGGTCACTCATGGGAGTTAAAGGGTAAAACTAGTCTAATTTGGCTGGGACAGCTTATGCGTGATATATATAAGCAACCTTGAGATCTCAAGGTCTCACATGGCTAAACAATTAGGAGGTTTGAAATGATTTGAATTGAGGCCAGTCATCTGTACATGTGTTGCTCTGTGTCAGAGTAGGCAAGATTTCTGTGTAACCCATAGATCATTATACACACAGTTATAAGAACATAGAAACATTGGCATAAACAGTGCACTGATTTTAGGACTACATCTTTAAAGTATGGGGTTATAGGGAAATCTTTCCTTTAAGTGTTTGACTGTTCATCTAAAGGATTCTTGAACTCTCCTTGACCTGAGACATTTCCTTTGTCCTATGTACTTCAAATTTGATGATGATGATGATCAGGGTGTTCATCATACATTGTCACTTATCTAACTTTTAGGACTTTGACTTTGTCATAGAATAATTGGGGGTTATATTTCTCCTCAAAGTGCTTGAGTGTTTATGTGAAGGATTCTTTAACTTGTCTGAAGCTAAAATGTTTCCTTTGTCATATGCTTTTGAAATACAATGCGAGTTGATTGAGTCAAAGAGCAGATTCTTTCAACCATTACACTCCCAAGATCTCATTAGTAATTCTCCTTACTTTCTACCCTAAAATTCCTATGATGTTACTTATGAGAATTTGTTATTGGATCAACCAATAATCCCCTAACTAATACTTTTCTTTATTCTCATCACTTATCTCCTTGATTTTGTTTTGATATTATTATAATGATAAATTTTCACTCTTGAAAGTTAAAAGGTTAAATCTGTTGGGGTCTTCATTACACATTGTCACTTTCTTGTGAAAACTCAGATAGGATTTTTTGTTATATCCATTCTTTGGTCTTGGTAATTTTTCATAGAAAACATCTCTTTTGTGATAATAACAGTGATCATGATAATAATGATTCTTCCATTTTTTTTGTTTTTGTTCTGTTTTTTTACGTAAAAAGACTGCTGAGGTGTACATGGAGATCTTACTTTGTGATAATGAAGATGATGATCTTTTTGATTCTCTTTGTTCTCATCATTTGTCTCCTTGATATTGTTTTGATATTATAATTAGAAATTCTGTCTTGATTGCCATGAGAGTTAAAGGGTGAAATGTATAGGGGTCTTCATTACACTTAGAGACTTATTTCTTTTCTCTTAAAAACTCAGAGAGGTTTTGTGTTTCATCCATTTGTTGGTCTTAGTGATTTGTCAGAGAGAAAACCCCTTGTTGTGAATGAAAAGCAACACAGGTATGCACTGCAGACCTATGTTGGAGTGCTTACAGTGTCCCTTAACAATCACAAATAAGCCGTGAGATAGATTTTTTGTTTCCCAATGCATTGCAAGCCTATTGTTTACTTTTTTAATAATGACAAGAATACATGTAATAATAGCAATAATAACAATAATTCTCTAAGTGCCAAAAGTGCTAACTGCAATTTTGATATAAGGTCTTGCCTTATGTTTTCAGGCTTAGACTGTCTTTTATGAGAAAAAAAACTCTTTCACTGATGTGCAGCCATCAACAGAATATGTGATATAGTTTAGAAATCCTCAGTTGCATTCACTGTGATTATTGTTATGTCTCCATATTTTTATTTCTTCAGAAAGAAAAAAATTGATGGCTTATTTGTTTGACAGGTCAGATGTTCTTCATTCAGTGTTGTTTCCCAATACATTGCAGGCCTACAAGCAAAATAAATAAATAAAAATTCTAGATGCAATGTCAAATAGGCAAATTACTTTGGTAGACTATTTTTGATGATAATATAACTATGATAATAATATTTGTATGTTGTTGTCATGTATGTTGTAACAATTGTCTTCAACTTACCACTTGTGTAGCAATAAAATTTCTGTAAATCTACAGAAATGACTTTTTCAACAACCAAATTGGGTTCTTTTCCTGTACAGTATTTGTGGAATGGGTCAAGGCTGTGGTTGATGATGCACTAATTACTGACTAAGAGGATAACAAATTTTCTTCTCTCTATTATGACTGGTGTCCTTTATAGGCGTGATAATATTTGTTTGAATAAATTTGTTGAGGAAACATGTAGGGGGAGATAATTCAATTTTTTTTTATCTCGGATGGAAATTTAAGCAGTTTGGAAATCTTAATAAGTGTTACCAGTAGGTTATTTTGTAAACTTCACTAAGGTTTCTTTCCTTTGCACATGAGCAATTTAGCATTGTCGGAGTTAGTGTTTGTTCTATCTTTTAATTAGATGGTCAGGGGGATGGAATTCGTTCCTGTTTACATTTCCCCTTCACAATCTACAACTTCCTTGGACATCTGCTTCCTCAGAATTTCTCATCCATCCATTCTTGCTAGTTTGTATACTTCAAGAGCAAAGTGCTTAAATATAGGACCACTTTGCATTAAAATGATACATATTGACTTACTCGTTGTTGTTTTCTCACAGAGACAGTCAGAAGAGAGACTTAAGGCGAGATGTCTCATGAATCCAGTAAAGTTGATATGAGCCAGGTGTGAGACAAGCATATTGGCTGAAAAGGAACAATTCCAGAACAGAGCAGAGAACATATGTGGAAAAGTGTGGTGTAGTTTGTGGACTCAAAATGGCTTTGTATCCAGTAACAAAGAGCAAACAACCTACCAAGACACATGAACCTTGTAACAGCCTTTGTCAAGAGAGAGTCTCTGTGGCTCAGTGTGCGATTGTGGGGTTGATTCAGAAAGTCTGAGATTTGATTTCCCATCAGGATTGTTATGTCCCCTACTTGTAATGCGACAAAAAACATCCTTCTTGATCATATTAAACCAAACTTGCTCTGTATTCATTTTATGCCCTTGCAAGCTACTGAAACAAGATTTCAACTTAGTGGTGATATAAATAATCCTCTATTTTGCTTAGATCTTTAAATTTTCACCTGCTCCTAGAGTTCACACTCCTAAGATATAGAACTCATCCAAAAACTTAACTTACTCAATTATGGCTTATTTGGGGGAAAAGGCACAGTATTAGCATCAGCCAAGCAATCTATTTTCTGATATGTTAGTTAACCCTTCAACTCCCAAGATCTAATTGCTAATTCTCCCCTCAAGCTGCTACACATTTCTTTGTAAGTTAGTAATGAGAATTTGACGTTAGATCAAGACAGCAACTTCTACCTGAGTGTTCTTATTACCTTTTTGCCAAGTAACATATGGATATTATAGGGAGAAGTCACATGTTAGTTACTTCTGGGAGTTAAGGTTACTTCCCACCTTCAGAGACAATGGGTTACTTTTCACAGGAAATCTTGATCCATCATCATTGACACCAGGAGGTCCCTTTGTCCTATTGGTGTGCAGTTTCAGGAAGTGAGATAATCTCCTGGCATGGCACAAGTTGTTTGTGAACCTTTAGGAGCTAAAATCTCATGTTTGATATAGGGAGGAATACAACAACTTTGAGCAAATTTATAGGATGTATAGATTTGATTGATTTTCATCAAATTTCCCCAAAGCATCCTAGGAATAATGACGAAGGAAAGTGTGTTGAGAAATTTTGATATTTGAAATATTTGTCTTGTGGAGTCCATTTACGCAACACATCTCAAATATTTTTAGCTAGTCTAACTTTATATGCCGATATCAACTCAACCAATCAGAATATCAAAAAAGCCAGACACACTCTTGTTGATTGATGCCTTGTGAATGAGACTGCAGCCATTTTGCTCATGCAGCAGCATCCAATGCCCGATAAATTCAATAGAAGAACCTTTGGTTGCTTTATGCCTTACTGGCTTCTGACACTTCCTTAAAGAAAAGTTGCTTAAGTTATATTACAAATTTTTTTCCCAAAAGACACCAGCGAAGCTGGGAAGTAACCTAAACTCTTTAACTCCCAGATCAAATTTCTAATTCTCCTTAATGTCAACCATACAATTCCTATAATGTTAGTTCAGACAATTTAGTATTGGATCAACTAATTATTTCCAAATTGATATTTTTCTTTAATCTCCTCACTTATCTGGTTGATATTGTGTTGATATTATAAGGAGAAATTCTGTCTTGGTCACTCATGGGAGTTAAAGGGTTAAAGGATTTAGAATTATCTTGACCTTGTAGTTGTTCATTTCCTGGGATGTCAGCTAAAAGGATGATGGAATCTACCTCCTCTAAGCTGATGAACTTAATTCTCATTACTTGTTTATTCAACAATGCACTTATGTTTTCAGGGGAAGTTGCATTTTCATCACTTTTGGTAGCTAAATGGTTCAGTGTGGAAAATGAATTGTGAAAGTTGGCTGGTATGAAGTGACATAAGGAGGAGCATCAGGGATAGGAGAACCTAAGGAAAACCTAGAGGAGGGAGGGTGGAGGAACTATGGCTTGTCTCTCTCTCCCTCCCCCCCCCCCCCCTTCACCATCATTTCACTTTCAAATGGCACACAGTCCTTAGCACAAATCAAATCTCTCTCCATAGACTCTTGCCCTTCAGCCCCCATACTACATCAAAATTCAATATGATCATTCCAAAACAGGGTTAGTTTGATGATGAAGTCTCTGAGCTGTTGAATACAGTTGGCTGTGAGTCAATGTAAAAATGATAACAAGAGGCTAAACACAAGGAAAGATTAATGAAGGCCAAAACACCAAAAGAGGTACTGAAAAAAAAAACCAATGTGACAGGATTGTGAACTTGTGGATAAACTCTGCAGAAAACAATTGTTTAGTGTATTTTGTCAGACCAAGTCTAAGGTTGCAAAATAAATCTGGGAATTAACTCCAACAATCCAATCCAATTCTCAGTTGTATTTATTTACACTTATTTTAGTAAAATAATAAATTTCACTTAATTAACAAAACTGAAAAATCAGAGAAAAATAAGAAATGCAAAAGTACTTCAAATAAGAGAAAAATGTGTAGTGATCACAGGAACAAAAACTTTCAAGTTGGCCAAAGAATAAGTAGGCCTCCTAAGAATCAATAAGTTTTTAGGAGCCACTGACCATTAGGAACAAAAGTCTGCCATTGGTAACAAAATCTCATCACTAATTATACTTTTCCTAACAGATCCTTTTGATGAAACATTTTCAAACATCATATCAACAACTTCTTTAGCATTTACCTTTTCCTGAAAGTTCTAAAAGATTAAAATATGACAATACTGACCTCCCCACCAAACCCCCCGAGGTAAAGGAAAAAATACATAGAAAACTGCCACTTGTGCATCATCATACTCAACAAAGCCATGCATTCCTGGTTTGTGATTTTGTTTCCCTACAGTATTCCAACTATCTTTTTGATAATATCAGTTATCTTTCTGCTCTGAATTCTGAGAGATTGCTTCATTGATATCTTAGGAATTGTTTTCACTCCTCTGTTTGACTTTTGCA